ATACCAGAGGTCTTCAAGCCCTCTGGCTTGCTGTTCCCCAAACAATGAATTATTATTACTAAACCATGACACCATTTTAAGTCTATGTGCTCTGAGAAAAGGAGATGCCTCTCATATGTGGAGAGATGGCTTGGCTCTTACAACTGTGATAAGGGACAGGGTGGCTATCGCTCACAGGAAAAGGACTGGTTCCCTTAAACCCCATTCAAATCAACAAACGCCCAATAAAGTCTATGCACTAAAAACCCCATTCAAGTCTACAAATGTCTATGGTATTTGCATACGATGTCTCGGTCCCAAGACTGGCGGGGACGGTTCTGGTCCTAGTCTCTTCTACTTGCTGTAATCCAGTAATGGGAAGCCATCTTGGCAAAATAGCTTCAGGGAATTGTAAGGGCTCTACCAGAAAGATATTTCATCACATTCAATAGTAATAAATGACTTCCCCCCCCCCCCCCACATCCCCTTGATTAATGATTTTGTAGGGTTAATGTCTTTCTAGCAAATTACCATAATTATCAGTCTTCAAAAAAAATTAATGTAGGAAAGATATTAAATAAAATATAAAATAGATTGATGCTTGTATTTTTCACTGGATTTTTAGGACAGTCCCAACAAAATAAAAAATCTGAGAAATTTTAATGCTGAACTATCAAACACTAGAAAAACAGCTGCCAACATTACAAAAGAACAACGGATAAAATATATCAACCAGTACCTGAGGGATGAAGGTGCACACTTGTTCATTGGCAGAGCACATTTTGTATCATTGGAACATACGTCACTACTTCTCTTACAACTCTGTGTATGTATAATATACAGTATATATATATTAGTAACCTGTGCTTATTTTCAAAGTAAAAAGAAAATTCTAATGGGAGGCATATATTACTATGTAAATATTACTTTGGTCATAATATACTTGCTTAAGCATATGAGTACAATACTTGAATTATCATCAAATTAAAATACCATTGCCACTTTTCCCTCGAGTTAATATGGAAATATAACAATATGCCACTGACATTTCTATTGATTCAGGATCCATTTAACCAGTATCTCATCCATGACATTTAATGTCATGGAAAAAGGGTGTGGTTAATTCTGTGTACTATAAAACTAATTATGCATATCTTACAAAGTGGCAACAACAAATTATCAGCATTGTATGCAGTTTTAAGCCAAGTCTTTCTTGGAAATTTAGAACCTGGTTAAATAGGTCCTTAAGTTACTGGTATGAAGCCCGATACAAATGAAACAAGTTAGACATAAGAGATGAATAAAATTACATAAGGTCTTGCTGAACTTACAAAAAGCTTTACATTTGGTCAAGCATCAGGTACATTTGCTAACTACTTCTACCTGCACCATTAAGGCAGAACAATATAAATTAGTTGCCAAAAGTCAATCTAAATATAAGACAAGATGAGCAATAGAGTATTCAAGTCCTCATACTTGGGAATAATAATTAGATGCGAGAGTAGTATATACAGTAGTTATTGCCCATCTCGTAACATCTGAAGACTGAGTTTTACGACATAAACCTGTAAAAAGCGTCTACTGACAGTTCGTGGAACCTAACTCCCTGAACCCGAGGCAAATATTTAAAACACAGACAATTTTAAGTTGTCACTTGAGTTTACATAGTAAATTAAATGCCTTAAAGGCAATATTACCAAGTGATGCTACACCTTTCTATCATTTTCTCACTTATGTTACTAATACTGTGTATACTGTACAGTATTGTATATCAAAATGATAAATTTTACAGCAACGTTTAAATACTGTACATGCGATATCGAATCTTAAAGCTTTGGAAGAGCTGTGGGAAGAGAAAACTCTAAGCCTGCTAACGAAAGTCAGAAGTTATAGTCTCCTGTACCCATATTTCCCCTCTCTCCTGGGGAGGGGAAATGGGAATTCAAATTCACTCAGTCTTGTTTGTGACGATAATTTAACCCGTTACGTGTATTAGTTATTTGACAATTTCACTCTTTTTAATGTCCACAATCTTTACCTGTAAAAACTAAAAGTTATTATACCCTTTAAGAGCAGTTATTGTCATTCATTGATGCTCAGAGTAACGAGGCAATTGCTTTAAATCAACACGTGACACTGTCTTCGTTTTATACACATGCTAATATGGACCTAACAGTCCCTTACATGTGGATGTAATAGCGTTTACCTTTACACACATGGAAAAAATCTTGCTATTGTTTCATGGTTACTTTACTACATTAATTCGGTTATCATAAAAAATGTTTTCCTACGAATGTGGTTATTGTTATTACAAACAAATTGGTCATAATTACATAAAAATTACATTAATTTGGTTTTCTGAACTTGATATGGATTGTAATGAAGTACATCTAGTCACCCAATCATTTGAACACAATTAAGGAACTACAGAAAGCCTATTGGCCCATACGAGGCTGCTCCAATTTATATTGATACATATCATTCATATATAAAAGTACATATTCATACATATACATGTATATGTATATATGTATACACATTCATATGAATACATGTGCACATGCATATATGTCTACATGTTTGTATGCATGTGTACATATGCATACACATCCGATAATGACATCAGATGTCGATAGATGCCGCCAAAGAGAGCCCCCATTCAACCTTTTAAAGCCCTTCCATGAAATAAAAATGTACATATATTCAAGTTTTACATTTTGCATACAAATAAATAATTCTAAAAGAAAATTTTAACTTTTTTTTAATTTTTTGCACATAGGCGGGTATGTCCATAAATGAATACCTGCTCTTAAAGGGTTAATAATAACAAATGTGTGGATCAATTGCATTAAGGTGACCATGGTAAGCATCCCAGGTCTCTGCATAATTACTAAAATGAGTAAAGTGATTCAAGGTATTTTCACAAACCAAATGCTAAGCAATTCTATTTTCTGACTAAAAGTTCCTGTACAGAAATTCTGTAGAGGAACAGACTCTACCTATATTAGAGATTAACACAAATCTACCAAAGTTGTTGTGCCTAAACACACAATATTGTTTCAAAGTCATATTCTAATACACGTACAGGACACAACTGGCCGCTTTTCATGTTTACTTAGCAATAGATGGATCATACGGTACTAGCAAAGGATCATTGGACTAATGTAAATGTTTCATTTTCTTAAATTGCTTGGAATTAGGACCCGAGCCTAGTGCTGGAACAATGAGGTCAGTCAGGGATTAGTGTAATAGGATAGGAAATGGGGTATTGTAGTGTCTTACTACTTGTATAGGGTGATATTGTTCTTCAGAATTTTAATTAATCGGAGTAGGTTAACCTCATTTAAATTGTATAAATTTATCCTTAAAAGGCACACGCCCCTCCTCACGTCTGCAAACCTTTGGAAATATACCTAGGGAGACTTAATTCTCATTCCAAATGTATATTTTCTTCAATTAATGCCCAGTATGTAAAACAATATATTTACACCTTATTTACATCAGGAAAATTAATTGAATATAGTCTTGTTTACATTAGCTCAAGGACCAATTATGTAGTATCGAGCATCGACTGTTAAAAGTGCTGCACAAATAGTAAATTAATTTTATTAACAGCTACAAATATGAAGCACAAGTGCATAATGTATCGTGCAAATAATGGCGTACTTGCACAAGATACCAATGCAAGGAGACTATTGCACCGGCTTCAGAATAATGTAAATGTAAAAAAAATTAAGCATTTACTAGAGGAAAGTTTCTAGTTTTCATTTTACATTTTTTGTATAACAAATTTGAGTGTAGTTAGTGTGCATTAGCTGATAATATGCAACAAGGCTCTCTGGTGAATTACTGTATAACTAATATTTTATAATCATTTTTTAAATTAAATAGATACAATTTAACCCTCACTCAAGTGACACCGTAAAATTTGTACCTACGAATGTCGTTCTTATTGCTGCAGTTAATCAGTCAAATTCCTTGTATGTAATAGCTTACTGAATACCACAAAAAAAAACTTAAAATTAAACAATGGCAACAGGATAGCTTTGGCTTGCCAGCAGACTTTGAATTCTATAAATAATTCTAATTTGACTATAATCTACTTCACTTTTAGTTGAAATATCAAGATGAATGATTTAGCAGCTCTGTCAAATTACCTTAGAACAAGGCACAAAACAGTCTAAACAGACATTCTTTGGTTTTTTGTCAATGTCAGGAGACACTTTTGTTCATAGTGTGTCATAGATTGAGCAAATAATTTTTTTTTAATATATTAGTTATATGTATTCTGTACAATCATTTATTACTTTCTCTTTGTGATCAAATACTGTACAATATATTTACACAAAATATGGAACTTGCAGGTTAAGAATTTTGCTCAATTTATAACTGGAAATGCCAACTCTGAGTCCACCTCCTCCTCTGCCTTAACATGTATTAGTTCCTCCTCTTGCTGGCAAACACTAACATCCAATTCTATATAGCCAACCTAACCTGCCTCGTCTCCTATTTTCCTCTCACCTCATTGTCTAGGCACTGAGTTTATCATGTATCAACTTTTTTTAGAACTTAAATGTTTATTTTTTCCCATGTTACAAATAATTAAGCCACAAATGTGTTTTGCCATACTTGCACATCAATATAGAGTATGGCAGAATTGTCTGTATTCTGAGCACAAGACATTTTGCCATTAATACAAGAAAAATGACTTGCTTGGGGCATTAATCCCCAGAGACCTCTTGTATATTTGCCAAGTAAATCATGATAGTAACTAAAAAAAAAAAATGCCATGCCTGGAAGGATATAAATTTTATATTATATATATATATATATATATATATATATATATATATATATATATATATATATATATATATATATATATATATATATATATATATATATATATATATATATATATATATATATATATATATATATATATATATATATATATATATATATATATATATATATATATATATATATATATATATATATATATATATATATATATATATATATATATATATATATATATATATATATATATAATTAATTGGTTGTGTATTACAAAATACTATTCAAAAGTTCCTACATATCATTCAGGATGGCAATACGAGAACAGAAAGACAAGACTAGCAATGTCAAAGTCAGATTCCCTGAAAATTGTATCAAGGAGTGTCAGACTTAAAAGAACAATGGGAAAGCAAAATTTCTGATCCTGAAAGTCAAAACATTATACAAGGTGGTGATATGACTAAGCAAGACACTGCAGTTCTGACAGTAAAGTACAACTCTGTTCCATAAAGTGTCCACAAGTAAATCTTGTGTAGTCAGTAGGTAAAAACCAAGCTAGAAATGTTTTAAACTTCCTGTTCCAGTGACAGAAAGATCACAGGAATAGGTTATATATAATAGTACATGATTTGTTGTTCAGAATAGCTAAGCATCTCTTTCCAACAGTTGGTGATTGCTTTATGAATGAGTGTGGTAGAAACATTAGTACAGAATTAATTTCCGGAAATATGGGATAGGCATAAACGGCCTCTTTAGCAGCAGCATCCACAAGATTGTTGGAGGCAACACCACAATGTGACTGGAAAACCAGCATGACTCAACTGTCTTCTATCTGCTCAAAATGAGCAAGAGCAACAGTGAACTACCATAACCAACATTGGCACATGAAAAGTAACTGTCCAAAATGGCATTTCAGGACAGTAGAAGTGTATAAGCATTCACCACAGGTTAGGGCTTTACAAAATTTAACAAGTGTGGGATTCCATGGGGGTAGGCACAATGAGAGAAAACCCATTGCAGACAAGCATAGAGAAAGAAGCCTACAAGACAGCAATCTTTGCACTAAAGAACAGAAAAAAAAAGGCAGGGCTTTCAAAGGGAGCTAGAAGTATGAGAGGCAGTTTTGTAGGGTCTATGCAAAGTATTGAAGAAAATGCAAGTGGATGTGGCCTTGTAATGATAAAACACCGCTTTATACATATAGTGAGTTGGGTTAAAGCAAACGTACCCCTGATCAGAGGCACAAGCGTGTATGATACAAAGCATCAAGATGACGAGTTGGGGTCAAGCAAACAAATGCACAGGCCACTCGTAGTCCAATGTAGACAGTGCTAGTGAAGAGTAAGTGGAGGAATGTTTGTACATGTATATCTACACCCCAGGAGGAATGTGATAAGACTGAGCAAGGTAAGGACCAACAACCACGACATGGTAGCTACCGTGGAGGGAAGGGAAGGGGGCAGGGGGTGAAGCCTGCAAAAATCTACTTGCTTCAATGAATAAGACCCAGGCTCCGGACTACAAAAAGCAGCATTCCTTTAAAACAGATGCTGTAATAGGATGGCTTCAAGCACAATATTAACAAAGGAAATAGCCGCTTATTACTGACAAATATACACATTATCAGGCCAAGTATTATTACAGGCAACTCAGTGCCTCACAGCTGGTGATAGTGGTCAAAACATCTGCCTTATCAAAAATACTGTCAAATCCTTGTCAGGCATTTAAAAGCAGTCTGAAAACAATTGGCACACTTTTGTAATTGAATACCTGAGCCACTGCCAGTTAGTGTGTACTTAAATTAATTTTTTCTCAAAGGGAACTAGAGATATCGGTGGTGGGACTAGGACATAACACACCAATATGAAATGCCACTTAACATATTTATTAATACTATGTAGCTACCACAATATTTATTGTGAATCATTTTGAGCAAACATGGACCTGAATAAACACATTAATTTTACTTTTATTTGTTCAAATATGCTTTTTGAAAGTGGCACTTCATAAGGATGTTGTTAGAGATCCTAAAAGGAACATGGATTTGTGCTTTCTAGATGACCAGAATAATACTAAATCACTAGTGTAACAATAAGTTACAAAAAACACTAGCAATCTTCTTCCTTGTCTGACTTATCAGACAAAGTAACCTCAGCAATGTCAGCCATGGTTGGCGCCTGCAGGCGGAAAGTGTGCATGGTAATTGGGCTCTCTTGAACAACAGGATTCACAGTTTCGCAGAGTCCCTCAAGCTGCGTATTCAGTAGACGGTTGGCCTCGGCATAAATCTGAAAATGATTAAAAACTAACCCAACTTCCTAGAGAATATTTAAACTAAATGGCATTAAGAACCTGCATTAGTGCCCATGCTAACTTACAATTAGAATCCATATACAAAAATAACCTTACACCACAAGCTTACTATAGTTAGGTTGAAGTACATAGCAAATATTTGTAAATGCTTTAACTATTGTAATGTGACAGAGAATATGAAAATAATGAAAACCATAGCTTTTGTACCATTATGCTTTAATCACAAAAACCTGAACTTGGCTTAGGGAGTGACTAAATGATAAACTAAGAAATCAGGCTTAGTGTGTGTACAATTTATATTAGTTAAAATATAAATATTTTCATTTACAGGTAAGACAGTTGCTCCTGAATCCTCCCTCATGTCCCTTCTTCTATGTGCTTTGGATTTATTTTGGGGTCAGATTAGAATATGGAACAGAGGGGGTATTGGCAAGGTATACATCTGTATTTAACATGTGTGAATTTTGTTACACCTCTCTGGGTATTTTGAGTTTTGTGACATCTCTTCCATTTTGTTTTATTTTCTTATGTGGGGATTGATCCCTGATTGCCAAATACCTCCCTGATTCTGAGCAGGCAAAATTCTGGTATTGCTTATAATAGGCAGATATGTTCGCAAGGGCCGCTACACAAGTAATGTTTCACCATGGAGTGCCAATGTCGAAGCTCTGGGTAGCCACTGAAGAAGCCCCCCAAATTATTACCCAGTATATATTTATTTTGATAAATTACAAGCTTCCTTACTCTATTATAACCAAATTCGGAGATACAAAATTCACTATTACCTCACTAAAGGTCAGATCCATGAAAAGTTCTTGAATAAAGCGACGAGCTGTTAAGCGGTAATTATAGCAGGCAAGTACTTGGCAAATCTCAGAGTAGAGGCAGAGGTCACGGAATGCATGAGGCCATCTCTGCTTGAGTGTTAGCAAACCTGAAAAATGGTGAATGTTATGCAACATGTTTGCAGAGATATTTGTATATGTTGTACAATTAAATTCCTGCAAATTAGTTTCCTGGATAATTAGTCAATTATAATGGCAAGTTACACAGATATATATATATACCTGCATATATAAAATGCACAAAAGTATGTACATAGAGTTTTCACACACAATCACAGTGTATAAAATATTACATATACTACTTAATGATGTTTAATTTACTTCTAGAAATATGTGTACAGTGTAAGGGTAGTAGTGTGTGTTGGGGAACAGTCTAAGCAAGATTGGTGACGGCTAAGGGTGATACTTAATTAGGTCACCAAAATATGGTCACCTAAAGTATTGCAACAAGAGAAAATCCAAATACCTGTACTGCAATTAATTAAATTTTATACTATATTTATTGTAGTCAAGCACTACAATATGAAAAGGTTAAGTCTAATCCTACAACCCTCCTCCTCCCATCATCAAAGTAACAAAATGTTGTACAAGTTGCCATAACTAATGATAATAAAGGTATTAATCATTCAAGATTGCCACTATGAAGAAAACAAACCCGATTCTGAAGATTTGGCAGCTATGGAAGACAACAGGTTGGTTATGAACCGTAATATCTCTTTTCTTATCAAGGTCTGGTTTACTCGCTCAGGGCCTGACTTGCCCTCACCTGTAAATGAAAAGAAAAAGTAATTTCAAAACATTTTAAGGACGCAGTAGAGAAAGAGATGGAGGGAGGGAAGGAGGGACGAGGGTGGGTAGGAGGAAAGGGAAGAAGAGCTGGAGGGGAATGAAGGTTGAGGGGAAAGAGGGTGAGAGATGTGATGGGAGAAAGGTGAAAAGGGGAGATGGGAGATAGGGAGAGAGGAGAGGAAGGGGAGAATATGAAAAGGAAGAGGTTGGAGTGATGGGAAGGCAGGGATGATAGGTGAGGAGTTCAGGAGGGAGTACTGTTACACTCCGAGTCAAATCTAGCATTGAAAGTAAAGAAAAGCCCTCAGTAATTTCCTGGAGTTTATGCGCACCAGGTATCAGACCCATGAAGGTCTACCTTCACCCACCACCAGAATCTGCTCCTCTCTCTCTCTGAGGCTATATTTTGCTTGGAGATCACCTATCTAACCACCCTCCCCCCAAAAACAAATTCTAGTGTTACCAGATGTATGAACATTTCTAACCTTGATGCAGCCAACCACCAGCAGATGACATCCCTGGTCACCTTGGGTACTACCCAGCAGCCCATCCCACTCCCAAGCTGCTAGTACTGAACCCAAAACACATCACAGCTAAGATGGTATCATGGCAATAATGAGGAGCTACTGAGGAGCCACCAGAAAAGGGAGATTTTTTTGTATTCAACACTATTTCTGGGAGGCCCTCTTAGGTAACTCCAGAGCTTACTCCTAACAGTGCTAATGCACTGCTGGAAAGATGAATTTTTGGAAAGGAAATATCGTAATAGCAGCAACAAACGGTGTGAAGGAATTACCCATGGAAGATAACAGGAGGGCCTGGATATTAGCTTTGGACATATTGCCTAATGAGGTCATTAAGGCGGTATACTTGGTGCACAAGGGTTGACCAGGCACGTATAACACCTTAGAAAGAAAAAATGGGAATTTATATCTCCCATTGTAGACAATGATTGTAAATACCTACATAAAGTTTGGCTTAGAAAGTGGCCACAGCCTGAAAGGCAACTGCCTGAGAAAGCAGCTTGGCTAAAACCAAAGTCCAGTAGTGACCAACAGTATACCTGCAGTGAAGGACACCATGGACCCAACAGACTGCATGGCAGAGGCAACAGGAATGGCCAGTGGTATCTAAGAACACTGATGCACACCTTGCAAAGCTGCAGAAGCAGGTATGAAATAGGACAGAAAAGTTATAATGACCTGGCCAATAACACATACAAGACAAACCCACAAAACAATTCCACAGGGAGGACACCAGCAACCCAGACTATCTCACACACACACACACACACACACACACACACACACACACACACACACAGATGGGTATTTTGCATGCAGGAAGACTTTACAAAACAGACACCATACCCTGACCAAACCACTCAGTGAAGAAAGGCATAAGGAGCTATGAATAACATGCATGGGCCCCTAACACAAACAGAAGCAGGACCAGCATGATTTACGGGTTTTATAACATATACAAGCACATAATGCAAAGACTGTTTCTCCCATTAAGTGTGATTATACACAATCTCATCTGTTCCCAATAACATTAATCACGTAGATTAAACCTCACTTGTCCACAATAAAGATTGATCACATGCATCACATTTTCATTCATCACATTTTTTTCTTCTTTACTTTCCCCAGGTTCACAGAATTCTTAAAAGTTTTGACATCCATCACAATGAAGACAAAAATAATAAGCAATGACTGCAGATACAAGAGACTCACCCAAGTCATCCCAACCCTGGCTATTGACACTGGAAGAATCTGATGCTTCGGAAGCTTCACTGATGGCTTTGACCCGTTGCAGGTGGGGGGACTCCACTACCATACCCTCCGTCACCGGCCCTTCACCTTCGCCTGAACACACAAAGTTGTCTCCATGTCATCAATTGTATTAAATTCTGCAATAATTCTAGAGTCCACATTTAGCCGTGGAAAATTATCAACTTAACTTGTCTTCATTTTAAACTTTTAATTTTAAAAATGTACTTTAATATTCATATATCCATTGCAAAATATGTATGGGATTTTTTTTTTTTTTACTTTATTCAAGAAGTATTTATTATTTTTGGGAAACGGTACTGCATGTATTACAGTATTAAAAAAAAAAAAAAGTGTGTGTGCTTTTCAAAAGGCTGCCCGACAGTGGTAGTCCAGCATCTAACACTGCCATTAATAAAATAACTTTTATATATTAAATCTAAAATATGTTATATACACATGATATGATTGCCTTATTGCTGAAAGTGATGGATGTCATCCTTGTAGGAATAGAACTTAGATTTTAGTGGGTTATTGTATCTAACAAGAAAGATCAGTACTAATCATACTTGAATCAAGGGCTCACCAGGAGGGTAGAAGTAGCCTAAGCTCTTCTACCCCTCCGAGATGTATTTTATCGTCTCAATAAAAGTACTTGAACTTGTCAGCTCTTATGGTCTATAAATGCATTTATCTACTGAACAATAGTTGACTAATGAGATTGAGATGTTTACTAGTATAAAATGATAGTATACAAATTGACTTTAACCTTATAAAAGTTAGGATTTCGGAGTTCATACAATCTTAACTTGCACAAAAGTTAAAGTAAAAACAAGAGCTACATACAAGTGTAATGAAATAAATCTTCCTGGGGTTGTACCTTGGTAGCTCCCCCTAGATACTTAGCACTGGCACACTAGGGACACACCCGGTGCATCACGTTCCCATCACTACGTCGGGAACAAGCACATGTTTAAACTCTTCTTGTCCCCCTCTAAAAGATCACAAGGTGAATCACTCCTTAATAATGAAAGCAATACAAGAATAATTTTATAACAATAATGAAAAGACACAGAACCTCCCTCTGAATAATGTTTGTCAACACACCAATTGCCAAAGAAAACTTGGAATCTCCAAACTAGGTTCTGAACTTCCTCCTCCTATGCCATCACCAGATGGCAGGAAATTACTTTAAAAATATTCTTTTCTTCAACCTATCTCAGATTCTTGTCCTCATAACCCTCCCAAATGCTATATAGTCGTAATGGCTCGACACACACTCCTGATTACCTCACCTTTACCGAGGTTCAATGTAAGGAAGTTCGGGAAAGTTACTGAAGGGCCAACCACAGAAATTGTGTTAAGTGTAATGAAATGTGTTTCTGGGATGGCATCTCAGTAGTTCCTCATTTTCACCAGTTCTCTTCTTTCTTGTGCTACTGGTTACCTTTGGAATTGAGAGTGAAGAGTTTGGAAACCCTTCACACACTAGCCTACTGGGTAGCTCCTGAAATGCCATTCAAGTAAAGTATCCCATTATAATCAATGCTCTAATTTCTGTGGTGGCCCCCTAAGTAGCTTCCCTAAGCTTCCTCACAATGGACCTAAACAAGGAAAAAGAACATTTTAAAGTAATTACCTACCTGGATGAAAAAAAAGAGGAAAATAAAAAATTAAATACAAAGTATGGAGTAAAGAGAGAACTTGTGTGTGAAAGCCCAGGAACAGACAAGGTGGGTGATTGTAACACCCACCTTGAGAAAATGGGCATCCAGCATCCTATTTGACATTCAGTAGCACCAAATCCTGATACTGTACAGTCTAAGTTACAAAACAAAATTTTGCCAAAGCATCAGGAGTACCTGAGAAAGGCCTGAGAATGGGCACAAAAAACAGGGTGTAGTGAATGTTATACCACGAAACCTGTGAGCAAACTCACTAAGTTAAAGAAAGGGGAGAAGAACACTAATAGCTCACAAAGAAGCTGCACCACAGCAGCTGGTTCCAGGGTAGAATAAGTTCTGAACCTCCACAAAACAGAAGACTACAGCAGACCCTCAAAGATGCATACATTGCCAAAGACATAGACGGCATCTGAAAACTAACAGTTGATCCCTGAGCAGGAAGACTCTAGAGTAACAAGAGCCAGCTGCAAAAAGAAAGCACTTCAGCCAGCTTGAAGAGCCTCTAAAGTCAACTGAAGTGTTGAAAGTTTTTGGCATATATGAAGATTCCAAAAAGGGCCAAAAGTCAAACAAAAGCACCAGCCCAAACGAAATGTAACAAACCGAGTCTGCAGCAGCAGGAAAAAAGCTTCGTGCTACAAACGTTTGGTGTATCTAGGACAGAAGAAAAAAATGTGATCCACAAGAACTACCACATTATCTCCCAAACAAGAACAGTCTAAGAATTGTAGAAACTCCCTATGCAAACATCAGCAGATAACTGATCTGCCTGGGAAGGACAGCCACTGTAGAAGACCAGTCACTGAAGAAAAAAGTCCCCATAAAAATAGAAAAACATGCAGAAAATGAAGTAAACCCTGGAAGCAAGCTTTAATAAATACAATTAAAAGGGATGGTTGACATGGCCCCTTTCCTCCCCGCCACTCAAGAGGCAAGGTCACCTGCTGGGTCAAATGGCAACTTATAAGAACCCATAAGAAAAAATCCAGGAACATGCAATGACTACTCTCACACATACATGAAGCAAATGATTAAATACTAATATCAGAGTATAGCACATAAACATGCCTAGAGTCTACAAGAAACCAAGTTTCAAGGATGAAGAGTTACTCATCTTCGGAGATCCCCGCCTTACAAAGCCCAACAGGGTAAGTTAGAGAGTATGTAAATTGGTTCTAACCCATCCTCCTCAAACAACAGTACTTATAGCAACTATTGGACAGAAAGTGCCAGTATGTAGTGATGGACCACCAGTAAACCACTTTTTGTAATATTAATTTTATAGTGGAAAAATTGAGCTAAACACCAAACTTAAATATTCCTAGTATTGCACACACACATTATATATTTATATTTTATGTATATTATATTTTATATATATATATATTTATATATATATATATATATATATATATATATATATATATATATATATATATATATATATATATATATATATATATATATATATATATATATATATATATATATATATATATATATATATATATATATATATATATATATATATATATATATATATATATATATATATATATATATATATATATATATATATATATATATATATATATATATATATATATATATATATATATATATATATATATATATATATATATATATATATATATATATATATATATATATATATATATATATATATATATATATATATATATATATATATATATATATATATATATATATATATATATATCAGGCCTAAGATAGCATAATATGTATTAGGCCTAGAATTGCTAGAAGAGGTTAGATTAGGCCTTATTTTTGTTAGTTTAAAAAGTTTCCAGTTTGTTCAATTTCAACAATACAAAAATCAACTTTCTGGTGGTCCATCATAACATATTGGTACTGTACTTTCAATGAAATACCTGTACTGCAAATACTTTCATTTTAGGAGGATGGATTGTCTGGATCAGATCAATGAACTATGGGGTAAAGTGATGCCATCTGGTGGCAAGTAGTGGATTAAAACTAGGTACCACAGCCAGCAGTTGGCAAATGCCCTTATTTGGTGAACACCTGACCACACGCAAGAGCTTGAGAGGGCTTCGAATTTCTGTGGAAACACCTTCCGACCCATTTCTGGGCTGGATTAAATACTGTGTTCTCCAGTAGTGCCCTTAGCACATTATGAACCTGCAAGGATGCATTCAAATTCCCTGTGGTGCCATGTTATATATAGCACCTGTCTGACCACACGATCCGTGTCCAAGGATCTTGGATACGGAATAGCCAGAGCTTGGAAATCATTACTAACGATGTCTTTGAGAAATGAAATAAGGTAAAAAAAAAAAAATATTTCCATAAATGGAAACCCAAATATCTACTGACACTTGTGCAAGGGGCTGGACTGCAGCAAGGCAGGAGCAAGAGTGAAGCATGCCAAGCACATCTGTGGGGTGTGAAGCTCCAGACCTGTCCCATCACCATCTCTTCCTGTGGTGTCCATGCTAATCTTCCTCTTTCCATTGCTAACTGCACTTGCTGTTAAAATATACCAGAATTATTAGAATATATTGAAGACCATTAATTACGGTTTTGCCTGTAATGCTTGGTTAAGATTGCCAAATACAAATCAGTGGTCAAAACTCAATCATCTTGGACCATCAGTATATAGTAATTATTTTATAAGACATTAGTGCTTGATGACAGTAATGTTTACTAATTATTGTGAACAGTTCTATTTTACTAATCTCTAGACTATGGCACAAGGCATTTTATAATAACAGTTGCAGACCAGTACTATAATTATGTGGACACATTTATAATTCTGCCCCACAAAGAACTCGTGCTACAGTGTTGAGTAAATTGTCTTGCAAAATATGTCATGAACTCTTCTAATACACAGTACAGTACTATAATTACATGCTGAATTATGGAAAATACATAAAAACAAGCAAATGCAAGTATAAAATGTACAATTTGCTGTTGCTGTGTGTGTAAGGGATCTTTTCAAGTGTTCCTGTCTAATACTATTGCATAGTACTTGAGAATACTCAATCCAGTCCAGAATGAGCTCCTGAAGACTCTTTCAACTACATAAGAACTCTTTCAAGTGCTATTTGGCAAGAAGGGGACTGCCCTGCCATATAGGGCTCTTGCTAATTTTTTTTTGGCTGTCCAACTAATACCCCTTATCTTGGGGTAATCTTGAGATGATTTTGGGGCTTAGTGTCCCCGCGGCCCGGTCCTCGAACAGGCATCCTTTTTGTTACCCCCCCCCCCCAGGAAGCAGCCTGTAGCCGATGTCTAACTCCCAGGTACCTATTTTCTGCTAGTTGAACAGGGGCATCAGGATGAAAAACATTTTTGCCCATTTGTCTCCACCTCCACCAGGGATCGAACCCGGAACCTCAGGATTACGAATCCGAAGTGCTGTCCACCCAGCTGTCAGGCACCAAACCACTACCAGCTGACAGTAGCTACATGTAAACAGGATCTCTGACTCTGCCCACTTTACACAGTTCTATAAAGATCTCCTATAAAGCAAAGGAGAAATAGGGATAAAGGAGGAGACAGTGTCGCTCCATCAGAAACTACCTTTTCATCTACATTTGAAGCCCTATTTATGGGCTTTCCAACTTCAACTAAATCAAATGCAACATTATATGATGATCAAAAATATTTTGTTCAATTTTTTTATGTAGCTTGCACACACACACACACACACACACACACAAAAAAAAAAAAAATAAAAATAAAAAGTTTCCTTTTTAAAGGTTTCTTTTCTAATCTCTTCCATATTTCAACATGTTATAGTATATTTAATCTTAATTTTATCAAACAAGATAAATAGGCACTTTTTTTTTTTTTTTAAACTCTGGTGGCTAATTGTCTTGCCAAGAATCACTGACTTTACTTTTTTTTAATACCTGTACTGTACAAACAAATATTTCAAATACACTCTCAATGTTTACATACTTTTTCGTTTCATGGTTTTCTCCTCTGACTGGGTTTCCAACTCAGATTCTGTTATTACAGGAAATCTGTCCTTGCCAGAGGTGCCATTGCTCATGCTAGACATATTTGCATTTCCTCCATTTTGGTGCTGGGATTTTTTGTCAGAAGTAGCATCATACAGAAGTAGATCAAGGTCAAGTGGCAGAGCAAATCCTAGGTAGCACTGGCCACACTCATCGTGAATTACACCACTTAAAGGCACACTACCAAGCCCTCTGCCAATGCTGCTACCAAGTCCACTACCTCGAACTCCGGCCGAACGTACAGACGATACTTCACTACAACCCGATGGAGATCGTACCATTCCTTGCACATCGAGCAAATTGCGCATCAAGCTGAAACAAAATATTAAATCCATAGTAACATTTCAATTATCCAAACTACAGCAACACATTCTACATTCATTTCATAAATACTAAATATATAAAAATCCACACATTTAGTATAAATTTTATTTTTCATAAATGCTGACAGTGCAAATGAAGTCCTCTGCATAGTACTTACTATGTCCCACCATGTTCATAACTTGAAGACAAAAAGCCTTTGAGTGAATTTCTTGCCGTTTTTTCCTCTTGGCTCGATTCCGACACAACCCTACGGTGGTTTGTGATAGAACGAAGAGTGAGGTAACTTTGGGTAGACAATGGCTGGCCTGTTATTACTGAAGCTCCATGCATAATAGGAGTTGTGCTGCCTGCAGTTCTATCTCCAGGATCTTCTGCAAAAAGGGCTCCACTTGACCCACGGATGGAACCGGCTCGCCCTCCACGTCTCAACTCTACTCCACCTTCAGCAGTTGCTTGGGAGCCAAGTGTGGCTAGTGATGCTCCACTGGCAATAGGACTTAAGCGGCAGTCTCTGAAAGAATGACAAATTCTCAATTGAGCAAATTAAAACAACATAAGCTACTGAAACAGTATTTTTCAGTGAATTCAAGAGTAAATACACACAATATCTTAGTAATATTTATTTATAAGTATATAAGAAAATATATTCTATAAAAATAGTATTTTATAAGATACATTATAATGCAATAGAATTTTTTATAAATTCTTATTTGTCTTGCATTTACACTAAATGCCCCGAGAGATTACTGGTTAGTAAGAAACGCAATTCTAATTTCTAATTACAATACAATATTAATGTACTTAATATTTTAATATTTGAAAAATGTGAAGAGAATAACTGTGCTGTGTTTTAATGAGGAAAATGTGGACTGGCAAAACAAATGAAAATTTTGCATTGCCAAACAGTAGCTCCCTGAAGTTAGCACCGAGATAGCTCCATGAATACGAGTCACATCAGCCCTAGATGTCCTTAAGTGCCTACCTGAGATCAGAACCAGCACCTGGTCCACTCAGAGGTGCAGGGGATTCTTACGATCAGCCTCCCCAAGGGAAACATCCAAGAGCAAGAAAAACAAGAATGCTACATGGTTCACAGAGAAACAAGAAATAAAGCAGCAAATGCGCCACTCAATAGTTAGTCTGAACCCCTCTAGTTACATTAGATCTGTGCTAGGTGGCAACATCACTGGAAGATGCCGCCTCCCATGGCAACACCTCAGTCCAGAGCTGAACACCACAAATTAATTCACTTAGGAAGGGGAAAGGGACCAGGGAGCCACCAAGACTCATCCATAAAGAGGCATTTCATTAATAGGTGCATCAGTTTGCGGTCTTTCAGCTCCAGACCAAACCCCTCTAGTTCTAACTAAAGGGTTTCAAATTAATTATCGAAAGGATCATTCGCAGAGTCATTTCTTGTTTCTCCGTGAACCATGCAGTTGTCTGTTTTGCTTCACTTACTTATGGACGTTTCCTTGACAAGGATGAGTGTAAAAATCTTCCGCTCCCTGTGCTTCTTTGAATAGACCAGATTCTGGTTCTGGTCTGTAGCAGACTTAAAATTTTTCCAGCTCTGGTGGGTGGGCTGCCGTGCACATCAAGGAAGGGCAAATGATGTTTATACTCTTTTCACCTTTCTCACCTGAATTTTTGTGCTATATCATTCAATTTGGTATCAAATTGTTCACAATAGAATGCTCTAAAAGAATATTTACCTATAAGAACAATGTTACCAATACCATAAGATAAAGTACACAAAGTAAAGAATAGTGGCTGCCTCACACCCGATGGTCCGGGTGGTGCAACATTGTCACCGATAGAACTGCTGTCATCCTCACGTTCATCACCAGCATGTATGATGTGGTCATTGTTGAGAGGCCAATCCTTATACTCAAAGTACACTAGTGACCAAATGACTACTTTGTGGAACTGGAGGAATGTGAGTACAAATGATTTCTTGGTATCAGTTGTGTAGTACTTTTATAACACAAAAGCATTATATATAGCCACAGAAAATGGGAAGACGTTGGCGTGCATTTTAAAACCAACCCCATAATAATCAGATAGTAATTGAACAATATATGGAAATTTTACAACTATTTTAATTTTGGATAACAACGTGTATTGATTTTAGGATGTCATTACCGTTATCTGGAAGTGATAGTGTTAAGGACTAGTAGGGCTGATGCAACTTATTTGTAGAGCTATCACAGTGCTACTTTTAGGGAGCCACCAAGGACCAGCCAGTAAGAATCCTTGTTTACAGGCAATGCTGCTTTTATTAAATATCAAAAGCAGGATAAGAGGAAGGGCAAAAGATATGAATTCAATGAGGCCAGTTCAGCCTGGATAGGGGCAGACCCCTTTTTTGTATGGGGTAACACCTTTCCACCCCATCAATGCTGGAAATGGGGTTAGGCTAATGATAAATAATTGTGATGAAAATGACAGTAGAAAAGTAGAATACAGTAGAAGAAGAGTAGCATAGAGTACAGTAGAATAATTGTGACAAAATGATAGTATTCACTGAAAGATTAATAATCTCTGGATAATGTTCATAGACCAAGAGTAAGACAAGAAAATTAAGGTGAAGAAAGATTTTTCAACAGAAGGTTCTTGAAAAATTATAATCTTGGTTTTGCAATTGTGCGTACGTTAGGCACAGAAGATATGGTATACTCCCAAAATATCAAACATTTTGGACAACTTCCTTAAATACAGCTGGCAGACTTGAGGTGGAAGTCAACAAATTTTTTTAAGATAAGAGAAATGAACTCAAGAGACTGACATACAAAAGAGACAAAATTCTAGGAAACGCGTGATATTGTGGAAAATTGCCTGTTAACTAAAAGGCCACACTCTACCTTCCTTTCTGAGCTTTAAATATATTTTAATCCAGAAAATACAGAAAAAACACCTCTCAGTGCAGTCATTACTTAGTCATATACGAATAAAGGATTTCCAGGTATGACTAAATTCTGTCTCGAGTGAATTTAGTAGCGGTGCAGGAGACGCTCGGTGAGCACCAGGTGTGTTAGTGCGTGTGAGTAGCTGGGGTAGTGAAGTACCTTTTGTGATGAAGAAGACTCCTCATGTGCCACAATGCTCTGAATGTTGGTAATCCGATACTGGATATGGATAGATAGGTTGACAGACAGTTCGACACATTTGTTTTGACCGTATATAACTTAAATAGTGGGAAACTCAAGTGCTTGGTGAAGAATCGACTTGCACCACTGTGCTTGAATACATTAAAAAGATATACATAATAATGCTTAACTTTAAAATATTTATAAACCATATACAAAGCACAAGTCCAACAAATTGTGTTAAATTATTTTCAGGCTGATTGCTTGGTAACTAAAATATCCTATGACAAATTCAAAGCTACAACAATTTAAATGAAAAAGGCACTTACATTTGTGTCCTGACAGGTAGTGAACTGTAAACATTTGCGTGGGAATTTTCTCTAGACATATCCAGACCATCATTAGGCAATTCAGTCGCAGAGAAATCCATGTCCTGTGCTGGATCTGAAAGTGAATCCGAGCTCAAGGTGTAACGTTGATCCCCAGCTTCCTCATCTGAACCTGTGGGGTCCGTGAGTGAATGGCTTCGGGAACTAATTCCTCTGATACGTCGCGCAGATTGCAGGAATGCTGCCATGCGATCAGTCATGCGATCAGAGGCTGTAGAGGAGTTGCTGGCACGACTGCTGGTAGATTCACGACGTCTTTCAGATCTGCCGATTTATATAACAGTACAGTACTGATTTGCCAGTGTTTTAAATACATGAACATTTATTATTTCTAGATATGATATACAGTATACTAAGTATAAACAAAAGAAAAATGCTTAAAGTTTGATTTAGTAGAAATGCAAGGTATCCCCAGTTCATATGACAAATGTCCCCTAATACAATAAATATTACCATGTGGAATGGGAATAAGATGCATAGAGTGGGGAGGATGTATAACTGGTGGCAGATGGCTGGGTGTGGTAAGCAGAGGTTATTATCTAAGTGGAATTACAGGATGAGAGTAATGTTTGCAGTGTCATGTCTTCCCTTTAATCTTTGTTATATCAAACTTCTGAAGCTTCTGATGGTTTTGGCATACTGTACGATATCCTCTCCATTAATTTATTCCATCCATCTAACACTTAGGTTGCAGAAAATCTTTGTACGTGTTTTTCGCACATTTGTTTTCCTAATTTAAATCTATAACGTCCTGTTCGTAACACTGTGGATATCAAAAATTTCGGACAACTTCCTTAAAATAACTGGTCTCTGAATGTTGGACTGGATTTCCGGTGTTCCCCTCACTTCCAAAGTTTATCATCTTTTGAGGATCTGGCATTTATATGTTGTTCCGATTGGTGTTGGCCTGTTAAATACATTTGGGGATTTTGGAGAACAACTTGCACATTTGTTAGCCATTCTCTGCCTACCTTCAGCATCGGTGTATTCTGTTGAGCATTCTTTCCTGCTTCTCTACTGTTTTGTAGGGAGGCCCCTGCATGTTTCCTACACCAGAAATTATACTCTCCTTTTTACCCCTGGCTGCTGCTGAATATCTCCGGTGGCCATGGCTAAGTTGCTCCTTTTGGTAGATCTTTTTTTTTCCCCTTCTCTCAGCTTTGGTGACTCTTGCTTAAGGGAGTGATTGAATGATCCAAGCTCAGAAATAATGTGTTTAATACAGAAATGCCCTGCCTTCATCCCAGCTTATTCTGTGCCTTTCCAGGGGTTGTGTTGGCATGAAAATGAGGTGTGATTGTCCGCTGACCTAAGTACATAATCGGTGCTGCCACCTTGCAATGGGTGGCAGTAACCTTGTTGTTACTGCCACCCACTGCAAGGACTAATTAAAAGGACAAGTTGGTAATTAAGTCACCAGTTGGTAATTAGCAGTAGCACAGCAATGCTAGGCTGTCTCTGATTTCAAGCAATGCTAGGCTGAGGCATCTGTAGAAAGATTCCTGCCGATTTCGTGATGAGGTCACATTGACTCAGGTTGGAGTCAACAACGTCCAAGAGGGAGCAGGATATCGCATGAGGAAATGACCAAATGACCAGCTAAGAAAGCAGTCTTACCTACACTCTATACCTTTTTATGTAAAAGGCACACACAAAGATTTGTCACTCTAAATGACTACCGATCCCAGTTAAGAGTTGACAGCTCACCCTCATAATAACTTAAAAATATATACATAAACATTAGCATGTAATATTTGTCATTTGTGAAGTCACTTACTTTCTACGCACACTAGCAAGAAGTTTGCTGAAGCGAAGTGATGATCGTTTGCCAATGGTGAGGTCATCTTGTGAGGGTGTTGGCTGCGGCTGGTCCAAGGGATGCTCCTCTAACACTGGTGCACAGTCAGAAAGACTTCTCTGATGGCCTATAACTGAAGGAGGCTTTGACTTGTGTGGCAGCGTCTGAACATGAGAAAAAGGTTTAACAAACAATGGTGTTAGCAAATGTGATTAATAAATTACAGTACAGTACACTACAATTAAGTGAAAACAAATCGGTTTAAAAATATGTTTTAATTTGCATTATAAATAACTTCAAGTAATTTGTATCAGCTTGAAGGATGCATGCAAAGCAAGAGTAACCATTGCAAATACTGTAAATCCGTTCACTGTAGAATGTCAATTGAAGCCAATTTTTGCAAAGATATAAAAATTATTGGAAATCTTGTTTATAACAGCATATTTAGTTGATGTGTTGTTTACTAACCTGGCTTTTGCCTGAAGTAGGATAAGAGTCATCTAGCCCAATACCTTCCACAAGCAGAGACCCGCCATCACTACCATCTTCGGAATCATCTCCAACATAAAACCCAGGCCTGTGGTGATGATACATCTTCATTCCACTATTTTCATATATAATGATCAGGCACACCAACAAAGATGGTAATATTACTAGAAACTCATTATACCTTTCACTTTACGTGACACTGCAGGAACTAGTAATACCTGACCTGCATGTCAAAAAGGAAAGGCAAATGCACCTCAGTATTCAGTCACTTCACAGGTAGGAGTCTAGGTCTACCTATACTGTACTACAAATGAATATTCACAAAATCACATCGTCAATAATATACATCTTTTTAGCAGACTGCTTCTACTTAGTCCTTTTCATAGCCAGTTTGTCTTAGTGTTATTTACATGTATGCAACATTTTCTCAATATTCACATTTGCCCTGCACTACCGAGTGGACAACTTTACCAAGGCTATTGTATAGAAAATTAATACCAGCACACCTCGCCCTTTGCCGCTAACTCCAAACGTCAAACTTGCAGTATATTCTACTTTCTCCATTCTCTCATTATCCATGCTCCCATAGCATCCTCTCATCAGTCTTAAGAAGATTTACTGTCTTTTACTTTCCACATATTTTTAGTAGTACAGGGATTATTGTTCCTTACTCTGTACATTCTTATGCAAAATAAGGTTTCAGGTTTTTCTGTCAAGTGGGAAATAGTAACTAGCCAAGGCACAGTTCCACTGTTCTCTCATTGGCTGATTTAACTAGTTCAGAGCTGATGACTCAATGGCCCTACAGAACATTTTTGATTTAGCCAAGGTGAGCACTGGAACATTGGCACAAGTTTTCAGTTGGGTAACCAAAGTGGTTTGCAATAACCTGGCAATGTACAGTTATTACAATTTCGAAAATGTGCCATGCGTGATGTATGTCTACCAGTGCAGTTAATGGCATGGTGTGTGAGGTGGAGACACTGACCGGCCACTGGGTTAGGCATGAGACATCAGTGTGGGTTGTGAGGGCCCACTACTCATTATGACTTGTGACTGGATGTCCACTGTCAACAGGACTATTCCATAGGTAGTGGCTGAGCAAGTGTGAGGTTGGACAGTAGCATTCAAGGTCTGGCTACAGGCGAGTTACTCTAGAAGCACAGAGATGCAAATTAATGTTTTTATTTGGTTTTAATGAAAATCAAAAGCCAAAAGAATTTGAACATTCGTAACATGTATTGCATGTGGATTATTACTATTACATTGGTTGGGAGGTCAGTTTTTGGTATATACTGTAATATGCTATACTATGACCACTCAGGTTGACAGCTTCAATATGTACAGCCACAGCCTCCATGCAAAGTTGAAACTAAGCAGCTAATTCAATGATGATGCTCCTGCATCTCATTGCTGAGCAGTTATCCTGGAAACACAAACCGTAACTGTCCCTACTTTCCGCTTGTTACAACTTGTAATAAAGTTGTTACATCTTGGCTTAACGTGTTTAAGACGTATTAGAACGTTGTTACAAGTTGCTATATTGGTTGTTATAACTTGTTAGGTGTTAAAACTTGTTCGAACGTTGTAGCAACATCGTAATTTCGTTGTGTGTTTGGCGGGTACTCTTCCTGCTTATGTTTCAAAGAATTTCCATTGACAAGGGAGATGAGTAAACGCAACCACCATCCCTCGGCAGCTGGGAAGTGTTGTCGTTCAAGGTTGATGCCCACCATCCTCGCTTGCAACACTGCTGCTTACACCTGCAGTTGTCTCGGGTTTCTTCTTGCTCTTATTCATCACTTTTTGCGCAATAATTACTAATAATAATTATAAAGCTATTCTCCATCTTATTGTTTTACTTGCCACTTGTGTTGTCTCTTTACTGAACTATAAAATAACACACACACACCAGTTTGGAACACTTCAGAGATAAGTTGTGACACACACACACACGTCCCTCAATGTCTAGTTCTACTGCCCTCGACATTTCCTGCACATACTTCAGAGATTATACACCCATACATTAGGATTGGAACAAACACCCCATTCATGTTACAGTAAGGGTAAACCATTTGTTCATTACTGATCACGCAACACATAACACACACTCCAGACATTTAGCAATACAGGCACTTACTTTACTAGATCAAAGTCATCAACATCACTTTCTGAGATCTGGTGGCCACCAATGTTTATGTAATTTTCATCAACTTGGCCCTGATTGGTGGTTGGTGACCACACATCCACCGTTTCCTCCACCAATTGCCAACATTCATGATGATGACGTTGTACAGACTCCCAGCCTGAGAAAAATGGATCCGAGTCAATCTATATATTTACCATGCTATTATATATCTTGAAACTGAGTGATTAAACTTATTCATCTATTTGTTTGTTTTTATATACATACAGTATATAGCTCTAAAGGCTTATTCAGTGAATGAACTCTATGGAGGTAGCCATTCATATTTCTAAATAAATCAGTCACAAAGCTATGTTAATATATTGCTATTAATGAGAAAATCCATAGAAGTCATGAAGGAGGATTGAAACCTACAAACTGGGTACTCTCGATTACATGCCTTAGACCACTTAACTACGACATTCTAAAAACAACGAAATCTGGGATTTAAATAAATCCTCTAGGAATCATGAGGCTTCAAATCCTCTTAATGGATCATTCGGATTTTCTCATTGATACATCATGTTAATTAATGTGATTTCTTTGTACATCTGAAGAAGAATGCATTGGAGGTAGAACTCATATACCATGGCCAGAGTGCATGAGGGCAATGAATGAAATTCTGACTTTGCTTCAGTGGAAGCCTCAGGAACCCTACAGAATTCAGTTGAATCACAGGTTTCATGGCTTTTAGCATGTCATGTACGTGTAAGGCATGTACTTGGGCGTACCCAATGTGCCAGCTCCTCATTGGAACAGGCACACTGGATACTCCCAAGCTCCTTCTCATTAAAACATCACATTAATGTGATTTCTTTAAGCATATTGCTATTAAATTATGAAAAAGCAAAATATGTAATGTTTTGATTACATCATGATGATGATGATTGAGAAAGGTATTTCTAGGTGGGAATACCTCAGGATATTAATAGGATATTGTAACAATGACAAGGCATGCATTAAGTATGACATCCTGTAATGAATATAGTGTGTGTGTGTGTGTACAGGCTGGTGTAATGAGCATGATGCTATGTTATGTAGAATATTGGTGTTCAGGTAATACATAATGCTATGTTATGTGGAAGATCAGGTATCTGAGTATCTTAATATTCATTCTCTATACTGCTTTCCTATTTCCTACACACTAATGCCTACCCACCCAATAGTAATGGGAAATGCAATAATATGATGATGAATATAAACTGAAAATAATTACTCACAATAATAAAAATATACACAAGTAATTACTTTATATTAAAATTGCATGCACCATGTAATTGTTATTTTCAAAATTTCCGAGTTGAAAATGTCTTACTAGTGTAATGGTGGCTACATCAACCTGAACACTACTACATGGGTACTCACCATATTTCCTGAGCAGGTTAGCCCCATCCCTGGTTGTAGCCACTAGGCACAGAGCGTGAAAGCAGGTTCCTCGTACTGAGTACACTGGGCAGGTAGCAGCCAGGTGGGTGAGCGCCGGCAGCACACCCTCACAACTCAGAAAACCTGCGCCATCGCTGCTCAGCCCCAAGTGGCCCATGGCCCAGATTGCCACTTTAAGCTGGTAGATATCTTGTGGAGTAGAAACAGCACCAGCTTTAACAATCTGAGGAAATATACATGTTTGTTAGTGTACATTGCCACATAATTTGAGCTTGCTGTCGACTTTTGTGAAAGCGAGTGAAAATATTTCTCCTTCAGATGAGTAACACGTAGGTGAATGTACAGTATGAGGAACAAGGTGAACTAAAATTTTCCAGTGGACAAGAAGACAATTACTATGACACGGCAGCAACTACTTGTTTAATACCTGCTTGATGGGGAATCTGGGAGTTCTTCAACTCCCCAAGCCTGGCTTGAGGTCAGGCTTGACTTGTAAGAGCTTGGTCTCACTTGTTGTTGCGATGAGTAGAAGAATTACACCTTGAGTGAATATGAAAACCCCTTTTCCGAGCTACTCTTGGGAGCACTTAAATGCTCCCCAAGGTAAGCTTCCCGAGGGCCCCACTCTACAGAACCGCGAGATCAACGTTTGTGTGTGTGTACTGTGTGACACACTATACTGGAACAACAATCTTCTTTAAAATCCTCATCAGGTCATACTGTTGCCATGGAGGCAGTGGAGAAAAAGTCATTTCAGATCAGAGTGACTAATTATTCACTCATGAACACTAGAAGCAGCTAAACTTTGGAACAAAACGATCCTCCAGTAATAATTAGAAACCACCAGTTGCTCACCTGGCCGCTACCAGGACACTGCCTTCGTGGTTCTGTGCTCTGCTAGTTTGTTTTTAGCTTCCCGATTGCTGGCAGACGTCTCGCTGACTTGACTGTGGTGGCAGTGTCATTTTATCTGAGCTTATCCATGTCCTGGAGTGCCTCATTATCCAACCTGGTGCCCTGTTCCCTTTGGGGTTAGGATCCTGGTACCAAAGACTCTTGACCGTTGGTTACCTGAAACTCCTCTGGGCATTTTGGTTTTGGCCAGCCATTGGTTTGTCCTTGCTCCTGTGCTCTGTGTTTCCTGGCAGCTTAGTTTGTTTAGCTTCAGGGCTTGTTCTGGATGGTCCACTTGAGTACTGTATTAACCCTTGGTTCTGCTGGGGGTGTTCTTCGGGCTTGCCATGCTTGCGTTGTGCTTCTGCATTGTCACCTGCTCTCTTTTTCCATGGATAAGTGCTCAAAGTGTTTCTGTTTACTGATGTTATTTTCAGAAATGCAAGCCTTCTCTGCCTAGGCACCATTATGGGCAGGGAGCTCGGCCAGTTGCTACAAGGGCCTTCCACAAATCAAGTATTGAATGTAATGAAATGCCATTTCTGTTGGGGCCATCAATATATCCCCATTTTAGTCTTGTTCCCTTCTTTCTTGTTTGATGGAGGGGGGGTCCAGTTTGAGTGGCTTGTGAATGATGGGGTGAACTTTTTGGTACACTGGTTGAACCGAGTTGCTACCCTGGTGGTCAGGTACATAATGGTTAGGGCGTTTAAACTCCTTGGCAATAATCATTTGCTTTGTTACCCTAGGATACCTAATTTTCTTCAGTGGCTCGTTTTGTTGCACGTGAGCTTTGTGAAATTTTCCTTTTGATTTTGGACTGAACTCTTATCCCAAATATCTCCAAACTCTGATGCCCAAGCTCTATATGCCGCATAGAGAGCTAGATTCAGCTTGTGGATCCCAGTAGCTCAGGAAGCTACAATCAGGAGCCCCTCTCAGAAAAGTACACTAGGGAATGATAAGTAACAAAAATAAACCATCATACTCACCTGAACCATATTTCTTACTGCATCATGTTGCATAAGTATGCAGAAACCTTCCTTATGCTGTGTGAGTGATCCATACAGGTGTGGCAAGAGGAAAACATCATGAACAATGTGCTTACTGCCTGTGCGTCGGCCATATGCACCATCCTCTCCACGCTGGTGTTGAGTCACAGAGTCAGCAACAGCTGTCTGCATTAATTTTACATATCTGCCAATCATTAAAATAAAGCATTAAAAAATCTATTCAGTGTTTGTTACAATATGCTCACAAATTTCTTTTACCCTAATTCTTGGCCTTCACTTGCATAAAAATACACACACACTGTGCATAATCATGATCGTAAGACAGCCCAAGCCACAGTCATTAGCAAAAAAACGCAATTGGGAGCTTGACTGGGAATCGATATCAAGCCTAAAGGAATGAAAACTGAGTGACCCAATGAGACACAAAATACTGTTCAATGTAAGAACTGCTCGAGCTTCTTCAGGAAAGCTAACAACCTGACTGTTGGGAACAGATCAATTATATCCCTCCATGACGTATCAAACACAAGCATAACGGCATTGTGGAAATGTTGCAAACATGGCCCAACTCATGACACTCAAATTTGAGGCAGTTCAATTAAAAGAATCAGTCTCAAATTTTGTTACTCTTTCTTAAATTAGTAACTATGATGTTGCCCCAAATGTGAACTGTCTAGCACAAAGCCTGAGAAACAGGAAGACAAGCAATATCTAGAACACACTTTCCATGTCAGATTAGAGTTACTCGCCCGATTTGATGAACAAGAGTTCAATGAAGCAGGGGATGTGTGAATTTGCTTAGGATGTTGGGACTTAGTTCACAAATGGAGGCCAGATTTTAAGAAATGGTTTGATCTTGGGAAAGCTACTGAGCATATTTAGAACTAATATTCTATGTCCCCCCCCATCCCTAGCTGCAGACTTTTTGTTAAGCTATGGGCCCTTTTTACCTTGAAAATGAGACTGAGGCACAGAAAAAATGCTTGATGTAGTTAAATCTCTTTACAGACAGGTTCCCTTGGTAGTTGTCCCTTCATGTGACAAGTTGAAATTATAATTTTGCTCAGTGAAATCAGCCCTTAGTGTCAATAATATTAGGGATGAATCTAACTATTAATAAGACTCCAATCATGGTTTTCATGATTTTTTGTATAAAGACTCACCCTTACATGACACAGTTGGAGCTTTGGGAAAACTATTGAGGATATTTAAAACCAAATTATATGGTTTGTTATTCCGAGTTGGCAAAGTTTTCGTTCACTCGGATATGGCCCCGTAACGTTTTGAAAATGAGTTTTGAAGCTAGACATGGTTAAATTTGTCTGCAAATTTGTTCATTTGGTAATTGTCTACTATATTATAGGTTGAAATAAAAAATTTGCCAAGTGAAATCAGCCCATAGGGTGTGGGAAATGCATCCTGGAGGCATCTCCGGTTGCAACGAATCCCACACGGCAATGAATTGGGGTTGGTCCCATGTAGTTTGCTGAATCCAGGTTGTACTGTAGTTTGGTGCCACAGGAAAAAAAGTACTCTAAATAACCACTATTCAATCACTGAACCATAGTCTTAACTAAATGGATGCATCCCTGGATGGTGCAGTTCTCTGGATAAAGTCCTTACAGGCAAAATGTTATCTACAATTATGGTCTGCCTAAGTTGGTGTTTCTCTGGAACACAATTCCTTCATACCCAAGTTTACCCGAGAGGCACTAACAGTAGTGGCCTCTATGAGGACAGGAAGCCGGCAGCTTGTCGAAGACCCCCCTCCCCTATTTGCCTTTATGATCTTTTCCAGCTGTACTTTAAAACCCAACAGTTTTTTGGCATTAATGGCTTCGGCAGGTATGCATTTCCATGGGTTAATAACCCTGTGGGTAAAAAGCGTCTCCTGTTCTCAGTCCTACATTATGGCTTGTCGAGCTTGAAACCGTTGATCCTTGTTTGTGTTACACCTGACCTTTTGAAGAAATTTTCCTTATCAACATCCTCCAATTTGTTCAGTATTTGAAACATTTCAATGAGATCAGCCCTGCCACGTCTGGTTTGTAGTGTTGTTAGCCCTGTGACCCTCAACCATTCATGATACAGATGACAACTTGGCTCTGGAATGATTTTTGTTGCCAGGTGTTGCACTTTCTCCAGAGCAGCTATATCCTTCTGAAGACGAGGTCTCCATGTTTGTATACAGTAATCCAAATCGAGGCACACCAGAGATTTATACAATTGAATCACTACCTTCTTTTCCTAGAAATCGAAGGTACGCTTAATTATTCCAAGTGTTTGGTTAACTTTTTTAACTGTTGTTCCTACCTGCCATGCAACTTTCATCGAGTGGTGGATTTTAACTACAGGTAGGCATGTGCCTGAACACATGCCCAAGACTCGCCACCCGAGTAATGAAAAACAGACACGAAGTTCATGGTAAGACGTCTGCAAAGATACCGGAGAATGGTGGAGGGATCCTCCACCACAACACTGACACTACTTCACACTAACAACCAATGGCCTCGTCAGATCAAGTGGGTTGCTTGCCTAGGTTTGTATGCTTCCAATTAAGCAAAAACCCTTTAAATTCGGTGCTTGTCAAAGTGTGAGAATGGGCTGCAGTCAAAACTTTAGTTTTTGTAAATTTGTGTGTATTAGAACTGCCAATCTAGACAAACTGGAATATCTTGACTGATTGGACACCTAATTTATTGAATCAGGTTATAACCAGGTATGAACCCCTCCATTTTACCTGGGTTTTAAATTGGACCAGGTTATACTGGAGTGGGAAGCCACAGTCTTGGTTTTAGACTTGAAAATTAACACTTGTTTATTTTATGTAGGTCAACTTTTCATCCAACAAATATTTTTAAAATAAATATAATTAGTTCTGTAAATGAGTAATAACATACTATATGGTAATGAGTAATAACATACTATATGGCATTACACTCGGTTAAGCTTTCCATCTGTATGTACACATGTTTGTCTAGTTTGTTATACAGTATCTTGCTCTTTGTTATGATATTTTTAATGATAACTGTACCAGCATCTATTTCTACAAAACAAAACTAAAAGTACCACACAGCTTCTATTACATTTAACGTTACTATTTCACATACTGCACTACACATTTATTAAACTTACTTATAATTGTATGTTGTAGACCACTTATCCAGTAAGGTATTGCTGAAGTTGGCCTCGTGGTATGCCCTAAATCCTCTCGGAGACGAGACCAACTTTGCCATGAGCAGCTGTCCGCGGTCACCCAGGTGCAGGACGGATGGTGGAGCACAGAGGATGGCTTCCAGGTAGTCCTATACAAATCATCGTAAGGAGTAAACTTAACTGTGATCTCCCTGAAACCCTAAAATTGATCTCCCTAAATATAAACCCCAGTAATATAGATATAAAACTTTATAAAATAATGGGATGTACAGAGATCACAATAGCGTGATCCCGGGCGTAGGTTCAAACTCTCATCGCGGCCCTTTTGGATTTGTTCATTTAATGAGATGTACCTTAATTGTTATTTCTAAGCATCTATATTATTGGAACCAGTACTATCTCTAATTTAAACTGTTATGCCACAGGGATCTTTTTCCATCTCTTCTTGCAGGATCATAAAAGTTATATAGAGCCACTGGAGAAATCCTACATAAGCAAAAATGCCAACAGTAACATATTCGTAAAAATCAAACCCCCCCTACATCATAGGTGACTGGCAAGGAAGCACTATAGTTAGCTACATGTTGACCTGCTTGGATCCCTCAGTTGACAGTAATAAAGTAGCAGTACCCAACACACCACCAAGTTGCTACACCCAGTGCTCCATACACGTACTGGGATGTGTCCAATGTCAGTTGGCAGGAATGAACTGGATTTTCAGAAATTTAACCTGTTTTCCTGGTCAGGAGCTGTTCTCCTGTGTGGTTTAGCGTACATGTGAGGTTGAATGCAAGTACTGTTTGCCGGGTTTTGTTGTCAGTCTGAACACCTGCTTCTGCATTGTTGTATTAGATGATGATTGAAGAATACAGTACTGCTTGATGACCATGTTAATACTCTTGGAATCAATATGCAGTACACTACAATTTGTAGTGTAAGGCTTTCTTTAATCGTTTTTAGAGCCTGAATTAAGACTGTGACTATAAAGAAGCCCTTTGGATGTCATGCATGGGTGGCTTATAAATTATATTCACCTTATATAAGGTGAATTTTGAAGTCTTCTTGATTGCATAGTATTAGAAAATCATGACTAACCCAACATTTCTTTCCACACAATGTTAATTCTTAGTTAATCCAAGAAGTATAGTAAGTATTAGTGGCAGGTACTTCCTCTTGTAGCCACAGAACAGCTTATTTCATGAGTTGTCAAACAATTCAAGCTTTACTGTTGCATCTTCAACACGAAGATGCAACAAGACTACAAGGATCAGTACACGAGACATTTGGGAGTGGTTCCTTGTGTACCCATGGGCAGAAAATGGGCAGAGTTTCTTTCACCTGATGCATCTGTTCACCTAGCAGTAAATAGGTACTTGGGAGACAGCTGCTTCCTGGGGATGTGTAACAAAAATGAGGCCTGGTCGAGGACCGGGTCGTGGGGACGCTAAGCCCGCGAAATCCTCTCAAGATAACCCATATGCTGTAAATTGGGGAGAGTAGTGGAAGAGTAATTGGTAGCTATTGATAATGATGATTAATGATAAACAAATTACAATAATAAACACTACAAGCTATGGCAATAATTTGCTTTAATATATATACATTTGCTTGCCTGCAATGTTAGCCCATATTAACAATTTTAACCGAGTATATATTTAGCTTGAATAGGATTAATTCAGTTGCTCATTCTTACTTAGTAAAAGAATTCAAACCAATTTCAAGGTTACCAATATATACTCAATAACTAAAATTTCAGTTCCAAAACTTTCATAGTCAGTTATTAAACTTAGTTGCATACTAACTTCATTATCACATGCCTCCTCCAGCACATCCAGCGCTGCCAAGGACACTACACGGCTTTCATCATACAACTGGGCTACCAGCAGCTCTACTCCCCAGCGAGCGAAGTCTGCGGCCCCTACCCGAACTAATGCTCGAAGGAACTGAGTGGCATACACTCGAGCTGACTCCTGGCACCCAGTCAGAATCTTCGTCAAAATTGCTCTGAAAGTACAGTGAAGTTCTATTACATCAGATTTAGAAAGAACAGATGCAAAGTTGTGGGCTTGTGAAAAGAGTAATGAACCTGTGAGAAAAGAAAATTAAATGATTAAACAAGTTTACGAAAAGAGCAGTGATTAGCATGCAACTCTGTCACTTGGGCATGTTTCTTTACATCTGATGCCTCTCTTCATCTATAAGTCCCTAGGAATTAGGCAACTGTTGTGGTTTGCACTCTGGAATTGGTCAGTTATTGGCCTTAAGAGGACATCAATAAACCTGCCAGGTTTCCTGTCTATGACAAGAGGAAATATGGTAACATTAGCTATATAAAGACAGCTAGATAAGTACAACACACTAAGCTGTAAACCTACAGAGTAATAGCCATAATATCTTTATTAGAAGATGGGGAACTTACCTATTGAGCCCATTGATTGAGTAGTCTAAACAGGTAGATACAAGCTTGGCATACATATCACTCTTTGACACACTGACCAGCTCTTGCAACCTGTAAACAAAAATTTGTAGTTTTTTAAGCAGTTCAAATTACAAGTTACAATTTACAATTTAGTGAAAAAACAACTTAACTATTGGAGAAAGTCCATATGCAAAGTGATGTACTGTTTGTACTTGGATGAGGTTCTGGGAGTTGTTCTTCCCAAGTCCTGCCCAGGGCCAGGCTTGAGCCTTTCACAACACCTCCCTTACTAAAGTAATTGTTCTCACACTGGGGTGTCTGTACCCTAAGTGTTCAGAAAATATGACCCTTTTTGAAGTAAAGGCAAAATAAAACCAGCCCCAGCCTTTTCACTCATTTTTAATTGGTGGTGGTTGTGCTAGCTAGTGGTAGGGAAACTTTCTCCAGTAAAAGCATTTGCTCGAAGGAACTATGCTTGTTTGTTGACCTTTCTCAACGTTAAGTCAATAACACACTGGGGGCTGCTGGGAACGTGAACAACACCGAACAGACTAAGTGGTACAGGAAGAGGACGAGAACACGTCTAGTTTCTGTAACACCATTTCAGGTAGCATTCTTCTGTTATTATGCCATGTGATTATTAGGCTTTCACTAAGCTTTTAACACTATGAAAAATGGGTGTGATATTGCTGGTAGGTCCACAGTAAAAAGCTAAAATGGGACAAGATTATTTAATCATAGGCTCTCTTATATACTGAAACTGTTCCTTTCTAAAATATTTATACAAGACAAATATAATAACCATGTCATTTAGTTGGGTAAGAACTGCTTTGATAGTAAGTGTACTTGACAAGCTTAGCAATAGATAACTGCTTCATTCATTAGGAAGAACTCCCCCTTAATAAATGTTCTCAGTGTTGTCATAATGGTCTCAACACTGGGGGGGATGTGGAATTAATTAATTACATTTGAGTGCTTCTATATACACCAATATAAGAATACTTGGAATGCAGGATACAACACACAGAAGGTAAACAGCTATGTGAACAAACTTTAAGGAACACACTAATATTAATGACAGTAAGATCCTAACATACAACACGGAGGCTAGCCATATACAAGGTTGTGGTGTTTAAGACAATGAGAAGGACACTTTATTAAGGAGAGGGACACTTGATAACACTGGTCTACAGCCAAAATGCTTCTGAAACAAAGTCAATCTGGACTAAATCTGGGTCATTGAGAATGGAAGTGTTTAAAACTGTTGATTAGCCCTGCATTTCATCCATGACAAGTCTTAAAAGCTGTTTTGCTGCATAACAAAGTATTTTGTTATCAGTTTCATTGGGTAATGCAGCCCATACAAGGGAAACTTATGACAACAAAGCAGTTTTGAGTGATAACCAACATCAGTGGTGGCTCTGTGTCAACTTGGAGGTTGTTGCTCTCCTAATGGGTCTGCAGGGAGACTGGATGAAAAACATTAAGCATCCACCATTCGTTGAATCCAGCAAGATTTTCTTACCACCCTTACACATAAAACAATAGCTAATCAGCAATTTGAATTATTATATTTGAATTCAACACATCAAAATGCACGATAAACGGCTTTATATGCAGATGATGAGTCACAATAACATGCCTGAAGATATGATGACTAAACCACACATCAGAAAAAGAGAGAAACGATGATGTTTCAGTTCATCCTGGACCATTATCAAGTTATGAAATAAAAGAGGAAGGTACAGGTGAATATACAAGGTAAGAGTAAGATAAGAGGTGGTGAGCAGGTAAAAGAAAGGTAAGAATTCTTATCTTATTCTTACAACATCCTAATATTACCTTTATCTTACCTGCTCCTCGCATCTCATTTTATTCTCTTATATATATTTGCCTGTACCTTCCTTTCTTCTATCACACGACTTGATAATGGTCCAGGACGGACCGAAACGTCATCATTTTTCCATTTTCCGATGTGTGGTTTGGTCATCATAAACAGCTCTATTTCATCTCCGAAACAGACGTTTGAAAATTTTTTGAACAGTGTAATGAGAGGGGTTAACCTATCTGTAAGGATGATAAATCACTATCTATACAAAAGGCAAGGCTTGAGAATTGGAATCACCAAAGGAGGGAATGGTGTCCAATCAGTTATGCCACATACCAGGTATTTAAAGTATGACATAATCCAGGGTTGAATGTCACGAAACGTCTTTCTGGTGGGTCCCCTCGGTGGCTTTCTGAAGCCAGCTGCCGAGGGGAGCTCTCGGAAAAAAGGGGTCTCACATATTTTGATGGTTGTCAAAATTATATAATTGCTTGCATGGGGGTCAAATGAAATACTGTTTGATTATGATTAAAGGCAACATTCATGACTGCCATTAAGTATTTTTACAAAAATATGAATCGGGTAAATTGGCCAAAAGGCCAAGGGGTCTTTGAGGATTACTTATGCCTGGGATATAGGCAAACAAAAAACAACTACAATATATATTTCTTAAACACCTGGAAACTTGCTGTATTTATATTGCTATGTTTAAATTTGTTAATAATTACATTTTGATTTACTTGATAACAGACTGCAGAATTATCAAATTAACTACTGTAATTTACTAAACATATTAATGGGGTTCTTACCGACAGTCTTGATATGCTCTGTGATGAAGACGAATTGCGCTACATGAACATCATTAGCAGTACGCGTATTGTAATGGAAGTTGGATCTCTGGTCGGCATAATTGTACAGATACTGAACATGAAAATACTAACATACAACGAAATGCAGCCCAACAGAATGTATCCTGCATGGATAATGTTAAATTATAGATATACAATGGAGGTTTGTTATGAATTTACACTTTAACACCTGACTTTTTCATCCTTATTTCACTAATTGAATCAGAACTTGACAATTACTCACTGTTCAAAGATTCCAGCTTTCAGAAGCATGTCGTATCCACGCTGTGAGCGAGACAGTCTACCCAGAGCAAGAAAATAATATTGTGCAGTGGTGGTGTTAAGGCGCGATGGTGAGAGAACCGCATCGTGGAGTGGACACTCGCATACAACACACGTCAGGTTTGTACTCACGTCCACTAATAATTCTTCAAAGTGTTTACCACATTCATCCTGTATTTTGAGATGAAAAGCCTGGTACAATTGATGTTCAGAGGAGAAAATAATGAACACTCTCAGCCTTGAAAGTTCATGAAATAATTACATGCAAAAATACTCTCAGAGGCCTTAACCATAAAGGTCACCAGTAGTTAAGCTGTCATATAAAGAACGGATTTTTCAGCCATTCCACACAGTTATTCTTTAAAGCAAGCTCCTACTGGCGTCTAGTTAGGATCTTGCACAGCCAGAGCAGTCGGCATTTCACTCCAGAGCAGCAGAGAACTGTTCAAACAGTCCCTGTCAGGTTATACTGATGCTAGCGACACTACAGCATACTAATTCCACCCCAAAATGGAGACAAAGGCTAGAAAAATTGACCAAGAAAGGAAAAGATGAAGTTATATAAAGAAAAATTGTGTCAGAAAGAACATGATAATGTGACCACACTGGGGTATACTGCTATAGTCTGTTAGGCCACCTTGAGCAGTGGCTGGGATGACACTGGCAGACAGTGGTTTCAAATCATTACCACCTACCCCTTTGAAAGATGACACATCTGATCTAGACACTCCACATGCAAAGTTATTCAACGACTGGAATTCCCCGAGTGAGTATACTGCAGTGGTGATGTAAACAACAGGACTGGGAATCAGGGTTAAAGTGGTTACAGGGTAGTAAGCCATGAGGCTCAATAAGTGTCCAACTTCTCAATGGGCAAGAATATTGATTTCAACCTTGACAAATTATGCCCACTATGAAAGTGCCTAGATTATGAAATGGAGTCACACATGGACAGCTGATGGTTCCACAAGGATGTAAAAATATCTACCTGGAGAGGGCCAAACATGGAACATATCCAAGAAATGGAAACCTTGTCAACTCCCATTTTGTCCAAAATGGGGAAAACTGGGCAAGGCCATCTGGAAACACATTTAGCAACCTGAGAATGTTGACCACTTGGTGGCTAAAAGCGTGAGAATCCGTAAGAGAAGCTGTAGTTTATGTTCACCTCAACAATGTAAGACCAGGAACAACTGCCATTTGAGAATGCAAAACTATATTATTGTCATTGTGAAGACACACCCAGACCTTTTGAAGATATGTGTATTTGAAGGCAATCCAAGCAACAACCATATCTTGATCATTCACGTGCACCCACATCAAAGACCCGTGCCCTAGGACAGTATGAACATTGCTAGAGGAAAAGCAACTTCCCACACTGGACATGTCACTAAAGAGCTATAGAGATAGGCCCATGATCGTTCAGAGAACTGAATTCCCAAATAGCCATCAAAGAAATTCTCTAAGGAGGGACTGGATGCAGGAATTCCTAACCAGAAGCCAACAAATACGTTGATTTACCTGTTCAACACTTTCGACCACATGTATCTCAGAGGGGTACTTTGAACAGGCAAAATTGAGCCTGCTTATTAGACTCTTGAAATCTATTCATAATAAAGCACTTCTTGATGATCAGCAGAAGATGGAAAGCTAGCTTAGTAAGAGTTCACTCCATAAGAAAGATAAAAAGCTTCCCTCAAGTCCCGATCAAGACCCAACCACATCAGTTGTTTACCACTTTTCAATCCTGGACCAGCAGAAACTATCACAAACTGGAGCCCAAATTAACCAGAAATGGTTGAAGAGGTTTTGAATTATTATTAGAATTTCCTATGGGGGATCTTAGTGCTGAATTGAATCTTCTCCAGCGCTTCCCAACACCAGTATAACCTTACAGGTGTGTGTTAATTAATCCTAGCGTTAGGACAGTGTCTTGTCCTACCCTGACCATTTGGACCCCAGTCATATTTGGCCTTAGGCCTAGAGGGGGACCAAGGTGATTAACTCATTTGTTTTAATTTTCCTTTGATGTGCATCTGGCGAGTGTATAATCAAACCATAGATACAGTCTATGGTTTATTAAAGAGCTTTATTATAGAACTAGTTTTTGCAGTTGCTCCACTGATATCTCCATGCACTTCATATTTCAAGTCTAGGTGCTCAGAATAAACTATTCAGTATGTGTTGATTCAATAGCTCATGTGAAGTGTAAATTTATTTGACTACATTTCTTATACTCATTAACAAAGTTATATAATGTTGAGCTTAAGTGAGTGGCTACTGGTGTGCCAGACTAATTAATTTAAATGATACAAGAATTATTTGAAAAGGTTTCTTTACCAAATTCCTACAACAATCACTGCAACAGTAATAGGAAACTTGCAAAAAAAAAAAAAAAAAAAAAAAAAAAAAAAAAAAAAAAAAAAAAATCGGAAAATATAATTTTTTTAAACCTACATGCAACACTGGCAACAAGCAGCGCTCTTTCCTTAACACACAAAATATTATTGAATTAATAGATAATAATTATAAGGTGCAAAAATTAAGCTACTAGTAAAGATGAAAAATTCATTTCAGAGCACTGCACTTAGTTGCTTCCTAGGACTGTCTCTGCCACCTATGTCAAGCAGGGCAATATCACGACACCGGAGAAAGGTCAATACAGTTTGCAATGACATTGGAAGCTTGCATCATAAACTACAAGTCTATAAATATACGAGATGTCTAGGACCAGAGAACCCTGTTGTGGATGTGGTGGTGCCATCAGTGGGCTGGTGGAAGGGTGGCCAACTGGTGATTAGTAACAGCTCACCATTGGCAGTCACTTGTGATGCCAAGTAGGGTTTGGAAGAGCTCTTCCAATTCTTATGAATGGTCCGCAAAGCTTCAAGTCTTCTCCATTTCACCCGAACATCAATAAAGCTCTGCATGGAGTGCTTGAAAAGTTGCCTGTGGTGCAGGTGTCAGAATGTCGCCCTGTCCGACTGTTACCAATCCGGTACTAAATGATCTTAACTTAGGGAGCAACTGAATGGGATAGCTCAGAAATATGTATAAAGAAAGAAGTCTTAAATTTGACTTTACTTTAATCATAAGATATCATTATCATCACTCCTGTTTCCAACTTTCATGAGATATGGAAACACTGCTTTCCATACTAACTCCAGAGAAAATCAGTACCTACACACTAATATGATCACTGGATTAAATGGGGGAGACAGCTAAAAAAAAACAGAGAATCAGTACAGTATAGTATATTAAAATGTTAGAGATATCCGGAGAGGCACCCATTCATTTACAAAATATTCCTCTCTTAAACATCACACAGCCAGCATCAACCATTCCCAACATACCAGCCACAGTAGGACTAACAACCTCACAGACTAGGTGAGTGCTCTTTGTGAATTGTGTACAAAAATTTCACATATTAACTCTAGCCTTTTACCTACCTACCTAGTGCACTGTTCCCACTCGAGCTCCACTTCCTCACTATTTGTCCTCATCTTCCTGGCGTTCTTTGATACAAATATCTATGGCTAAAAGAAAACAAATCTGCTATATACACCACACATTTTTTTATATATATATACAATTTTCTTGCACATTTGCAAGTAGGATAACTAATCCTTGGTCCTGTAACAGTGTTCTAATGTCCTCAGTTCACAGCCAAGATTCCCAAGTTCAATCCCCAGGCAGAACAGAAGCAACTGTGTACATTTCTTTTCACCTCATGAACCTGTTTGCCTAGCAATACAGGGGAGTTAGGCAACTGTTGTGGATTGTATCTTGGGGAAGGTCAGTAGGTGGCCTAAAGTGCTCCTTGATAAGCCAAAGTATAGGCTTCCTCTCACCTGCAAATGATAATTATCTCCATTCCAAGGAGTGCAGTTTAGGTGCTTTCAAGCAGTTCTAGTCATTTAAGTGCATCACTGATTCTATAAGGGTTTTAAAATATATCTTAAGAGACCTGGACAATATGCTACACACATGATATAGCACCAGCACTTTACCTTGAAGAATATCATCACTGGTCTGGCATCTGTTTTGAATGTCTTCATTATCTTGCTAATTTGCTTTAGTGTTTAATGAAGCAGTAGGATACTAGATAGTGTGAATGATATAAATGGATGAGTGATATTTTCATTTTTAAATGTCTAGAAACTTTTTTTTTCCACTACAGAATATTATTCAGCTCTTTCTCTGGGTTAATGGATTTCTGCTCCATGAGAGTGTGGAACAGGGTAACAATAACTGATGGATAAAAAATCACAACTAATTAGAACCGTGCTGTGCAATTTTTTATCCTGATAGGTGACCTTTTCAGTGTTCCATGCCTGAAGAGAAACCGATTTCATGCACACATGTAAATTAACAAACACAGTGTTATGCTATGTTCCATTAATCAAAAAACAGTAACCTTATTGAATATGTAAAACAATCTAAATATTGTCAATGCTTGGTAATCTGAATTATATGGGCCCCACCCCTACTTGAGTTAGCTGAATATCTTACCAGGAATGTCCAAAGATTAAAACAAATTTAAATTCTTGTACTACAGCCCAGTTATTCCTGTCGTTTAACCTCTTATTCCCACTGTTTACCTAGTTACTCCCGCCATATACTTGAAGATGACCATGAATTCATTCGGGTTACCGAAATTCAGATTATGAAGCTCTTGCAGTACTGTACAGTCAACTCCCAGTTTTACACAAGAGGATTTCAGCCATCAGTTAGTTTCATGTGATCAACAAGAAGTTCCACATTAGCAACATTCAGTTTCATAAGGTCAACAACCAGTTATACGTAATTAACTATTCAGTAATTTGTAACAAAAATTCTGGTTCTGGAAAGTATTTTTAATTTCCTAAAGGATCCTTGAAATACTATGCAGATTCGTAAACACGATGGGAATGCATTCCTGTGTAGAACCGGGAGCACGCTATACGACAGTTATCAAGCAAGGAAGGCTCTTGCTACCTTTATCTCAGTACTCTTAAAAGATATGTACTGTTACATATGTACTGGAGGGTAGCCGTGTGTCCATACCTCAGATGCACCCAGAAGAAAGTCACAGAAGTGCAGCAGTCCTTGAGCAAACACTTGTGCAAGGTCATGTGTGAGGTCAACATTGGCAAAGAGTCCTGAGCTTGGCTTGTAAAAATGCAAGATACGTCTCACGAAGAGTCTGTAGCTGCTGTCATCCAACCGTTGCAAGGATGATGTAGGCCACTGTAACATTCAACATGATATTCTTACTAACAATATGCTTATGTATAAATTCATTTAACAGAAACTCACCCAGTATAAATATGACCATAATAATAATACAGTAATATCAAGCAACATCACCCCTAAAGCCTGAGGTTGTATGAAACTTTGACCCTATGTCACTGTTGTTACACAGAATATACTGTACAAGAGATGGCAATGTGAGAGAAACCCAAGCCAAGTTTCTCAACAATTACTAAACACTAAGAAAAAACTTACTATATTACTTTATATCTACAAGACAGCAAAAATATACCTATTACACCATACACAATAAAAGTAATTATGAACATTCAGAATTTGTTCAAATAACATGACAAAGAACTGGCCTTGCACTTCTAGCGGGAGTTCCACAGTGGGAACAAGGCTCAGATACAACTGGGACAGACCGCCGACTTTTTCCTTCATTGTCTAAAGTTCAAACAAAGCAGACAAAATATATTAACCTTTCAAGGTCATATCAATTTGACTTACTTCACATATAATTCAGATACGGAATTTTGCATCTGTGCGCTGCTTCCTGTTAGAAAACTGACATGTTTATATTTCTCGAGAGATAAAAGTAACGGAAAAATTTAGTATTATTCCTGCTCAATTACTTGCAGCTCAAACAAGATTATCTTCATTCAGAAAGATAAACAACACAAGTATCAGCAAATAATTAAAAAATGGAGAATAGAAAAAATGTTTGTATATATTTATTTTAAATCACACACACACACACACACACACACACACACTCCCTCTCATCATTAATGAATATGGGTACTACAAAAATTTGAAAAGCCATTCCAACATTAATGTAAAATAGCAAAAATTATACCCAAAATTAACAGTGAAGTAGTTTACTTTTCTTTTGCACACTTCAATATAGTAAAAATTTATTAAAAGCATTTTCAGGAATAAGAAATTCCAATACTTCAGGAATAAGTATAACATAACATAACCCGGGAGCCGGTCGGCCGAGCGGACAGCACGCTGGACTGTGATCCTGTGGTTCCGGGTTCGATCCCGGGCGCCGGCGAGAAACAATGGGCAGAGTTTCTTTCACCCATTGCCCCTGTTACCTAGCAGAAAATAAGTACCTGGGTGTTAGTCAGCTGTCACAGGCTGCTTCCTGGGGGTGGAGGCCTGGTCGAGGACCGGGCTGCTTCCTGGGGGTGGAGGCCTGGTCGAGGACCGGGCCGCGGGGACACTAAAGCCCCGAAATCATCTCAAGATAACCTTAATATGGGGAGGTCCATCAGTGGTTTCTTAGGCACTGGTACCTCAGACCCAATACAATCTTACTGGGCATCTAAGACTATCTCACGGCCTACTAGGGAGGCCTTGGTATGATCTGATGACTTGGCAGTTCTCCTGCTTATGCTTTGGGAAGTTACTGTGGGACTTGACCCAGAAAGAAAAATGGGGAATGAAAAGCACAATAAATATTAAATGTCATTTGTCTAATGATTGCCTTCCAATTTCTATTATGATATAGTAGAGGATTATCATACTTATTTCACAACCAGCACTTCCCTACCCGGAGTAGGATAGGGAAGTGCTGGTTGAGTAAATGGTAAAAAGAGTAAATGGTTACTCATTATTTCCTTACCCTGAGTACAGGAATGATGAGCTCCCACTTCCACGTGTGTGGGTCTCTTCCGAAGATTAGCACCTGTGAATCTTTCAAGGTCTGGTGGATTAACTCGTCGTGGTCTTTCCCCAACCACTGTAAGGACAAAGGACATCTAAAGTGCCAGCATGATTTTAAGTTTTGTTTTTATCATCAGTTCTATCATGATTCTCAGTCTTCTTAATTAAATATACAACCTCATCTTTGTCAACTATTCTAAGAATGTGAATATTCATCTTCCTAGTGTACAGCCATTATTAGAGAACTGTGTGTCATTATTACAATAACGTGACACACTGTATCAGAAAATATTTGAGCTGTACGACGAGACCAAACCCGCATCTTTGAACGTCTCGGACATAGGCATACCACTGCTTGGACCATCATGGGCTTAACATTATTCTGGTCGAAATACTTTAAAGCCCATCATAGTCTCACTGGTAATGGATGATGCGCCTGAGAGGTTTAGGGATGCAGGTTCAAACCCATTATATGGCTTCAATATTTTCTTCTAAACATAAACCAACTAAAATTGTTTTTCAACAAAGAAAAAGTCACAAGCAATTACATATTGAACGTAATTTGTTTCATAAATTTACCTATTTACCCTATACACTATCTACTCATTACTCTTCATTACTAAGATCTGCTCATTACTCTTGCAACAAATGTTGGAAGCTGATCACTATAATTGCCACTAGAAAATCCTGAGGTGAATACACAAGATGGACAAAGACAGCTCTTTAAATTGAGAAAAGAAGAACAGATAGATATCGATAGAAGCTGGATGACGAGATGGTTCAAATCATGGTTCAAATCTACTCTACGTACCTTGCTAAGTTTGGCACTCGATGTGGAAGTGTACACTTTAGGGATGCGCTCCTTGGATTTAGGTGAGCACTGAATAATGTGTGATAGGTAGAGACTAGTGGAAGTATTATGGGGGTTTTGTCTAGCCCGAGCCAAAATCAACAGAGCCGTGATAGCCTGCGTGGCTCGCATGCGCTGAATAGAATCATGGCTTGCTGCTCTCTCCAGCAAAATAGGAAGTGAATGAGAAACAGAGCCACACTCTCCAGGCAAATTTTGGTTAGCTTGGTGGAGCAATTCACCTGTAAGTAACAGACACTAAATCAGTATGCAATCTCCTTAACCACCATACTTTTAAAAGCTACTTTTAACTTAACATTTTATTACTGACAAAGTAGGTGAAGGGATGACGACGTTACGGTCTGTCCTGGACCATTCTCAAGTCTCAATCGACTTGAGAATGGTCCAGTACGGACCGAAACGTCGTCGTCTCTTCACCTTCTAGTGTGTGGTTTGGTCAAACTACTTCAGCCACGTTATTGTGACTTATCGCCTGCATTATTACTGACAATTTTTCTTTCCTTTCTGGTAATCACACAGAAATAATAAAACAATGAAATTATTACTTTTTAAAGTTGTTTGTTAACAAGACTTATTCAAAGCATAATTAAGTTATCAGGAACTTACCCAACAATATTGTGGTCCGGACTGACAGAGGCGCCGAACTTGTAACAATGACTTCACACAAAGCAGGAAACAGATCAACACACATCAACGTATAGAGTACCAGGGCTAAGTGGTTCTGGATAATATTTGGTCTGTAAAATTGACAAAAATGTGATTTGTAACACAAGACTAAGAAAAGTCACTAGATATATACACAACAGTAAATAAATACATTAATTAGATATGCTTTGATCATAGGTTATTAAGGGAGGTATTCGTAGCTCCCAAGCCATGCTGGACACTCACGTTCTGTTATGTATTTATTCTAGAAAGTGTCAATGGACGTAGTTAAAACTCTTTCATTATATTTCCTTTCCATCTGTGACAGAATGAGTGTTTCCTTCCATTGTATGAACCCTACATAAATTTCCAGCTTCTATCGATATCTTCCTGTTCTACTTTCCTTTGTCCATCTTGTGTATTCACCTCAGGATTTTGTAGTGGCAATTATAGTGATCATGAAATGAGTTTTATCACTGTCCATTCTGCTGTCATATTCCAGATGGTAATTCACCAAACACAAGAGGCCAAGGACCCTGACCAGCATTGTGGTTATCCAACCAACCATTTTAAGACCTGTCAGTGAACAATTCAAGTACACGAAAAGGAAGCTCTTGGGGACCAAACTCTGAAATGCCTGAATGAAACCCCTCTGACAAAAGAGAACTCCCAAGGCAACAAGTGCCCTGAACCATGTAATCCTAGAGCCAGCATTGAGCTGTCAACCAAAGAAAGCAGTTTAAGACCTTCAGCCAAACTCAACTCAGAAGGCTAGACAATGCGTGCAAAGTTGATATACTCAACGAGTAGATTGAGAACCCCCAACAAAAGCCGCCATTTACCCAAAAGCCAATTTATGTAGGGAAGACAGCCGATCCAGAGTAATTTCTGGCAAGAAAATATCCACAACTCTGGCACCTAAAATGAGCCTCAACAACTGGAAACACTGAAATGGAAGGAGTTGGGACTTTGTCCTGTTCAACAGAAAGTCAAAATAAACAAACTCCCATAATATCACATCCCAAGCTAGAAGGCAAAGTAGATGACAAGAGAGAGAGCCCAAATCAGTCATTTGTAGAGGTACATCAAAACACTTATTATCACAATTTGCAGTTAGGACAATGTTTTAGTAGCCAAGTTGATCTCAAAGGGAAAGATCCTCATAAAGTTGAGGATCACACCTTTCATGGTAGAATCTCATTTAGCCATAGAAAAACAAACACTGAAACCTAATGATATGTGCCACCTCATTGACACTACTACCATTTCCCAAATATGAATGCACAAAAGTGGAGTAGACAGCTATCCCCATGCCAAGGTATGTCTGAGGCCCATGAGGGAACCACTGACTGATAAAACATTGGTATCTATCCAAGCCCAAGCATTGACGGCGCAGGCTTCCCGAATATCCTGACAGCATCTCCCCGACACAGACTCACTAGAGCTCGTTACCAAAGGGCTGATGGTACCAACAAGGGCAACTCCACTGACAACTTCCAACTACAGGCTAGGGGCCCGATCGTAGACCAACAACCTGGGCTATAGGTTCAGAAACAAAGCATTTAGACCGGAAATTGACACGTCATAACCATTAATTCAACCAGGGGGCCAACATTTTTCCAAGAGCCCTAAAAGTAGCAACATTTGTCCTTTCTGCCAAAACACCTCGTTTTGGTTGAAGCAAAAGGCTTCAACCAAAACAAGGTATTAAGGCAGGAAGGACAAATGTACACCCTATGTACATTTACACATTAAGGACAAATGTACACAATTGACTTGAGAATGGTCCAGGATGGACCGAAACATCGTCATCCCTTCACCTTCTAGTGTGTGGTCTGGTCAACAATGTACACCCTATGAAACCCATTGCACATCCTCATTAGTACAGAATGAATGCAAAGGCATGTACTTTTGACAAGTCATTCAGGGTTGGATTGAGAATTCTCCAGTGGGTTCATTCATGTAATATGCTGAATAGGTATTTAAAAAGGAAATCTTCTGCATCCTGAATTGGAAAGCAACATTGGCCTAGGCAGTAGCTTGCTATGTCACGGGAAAACGGGATACTGCCTAAGGGACCCATTTAGTAGCCTAAACTCAGAAATAAGGAGAAAACCCATTAGGTATCTCTTACTTTGGATACCTAATAATTATTTAAGGCAAGTACAGTAGCCAATTCTAATACAGTATATATTTATATACAGTATTATCATTAATGTATATAATAGTTACCGTGCAATCTTGCCTAAAATCTCATTATTATACAAGGTTAATTTAGGCAAGCTTACCTAAACTTGGCAATGTGAGGTAAGACTGCCCGTGCCTCTGCTGCCACGAAGCCTTCGTGCAATCGCCACATGTCGGTGTCTGATGCAGAGACAGACACGTGATCAGAAAGAGCGTCATCATAGTCACCAGTCCATTCCCCAAGGGGCACTCTAAACAATTCGTACAGCAGCTCAATAATAGCTTTCTGCAAATATATTGGTTCCTGGTTAAAATACATTAGTGGATACTTATTACTGATAAACTGTCCTGGCACCTTTAATACATACAAAATGAAAATCTGCTGTTGTGGAGCCTTTGAAATACTTTCGGAAGAAAAGCTACAATTCTACAATTGTCTACATAGCTACAATTATCTACAATTTTGATAAATGTTTTCAGCTATGATGATATATTTAATTACATCAAATCAAATGAAGCATATTTAAAGCATTTTAAAGCACTGAATTACAATGCATTAAGTGATTAACAAACAGCTTATATGTATATTAATGAGAAATAGACAAATATTTAAATTTAAAACTATAGTACAGTACTTAAATAGTAATACAATACAGCAGAAGCTCGCCAAAAATGTTCAGTGACGAGTATACTGTATCTAGGTACCCTAAACAACATCAGATTTGAATAACGTATTTCAATAACCCTGAAGCCAGTAGGCAATAAGCCTACGAGATTTACAGTACCTCACATCTCAATAACGGCAGCTTACTTTGTATTAACTAAACAGTTTATGAGCTCTGAAGCACCACAAGGCTATCCAAAAAAATAAGACCATTGCATTGACAACAACCATGCAGCACTTTGAAGCTTAAAGTGTTCAGCAAGTAAAGTGTTCAAGCCACCATGATAGAGGTAAGTGGTACAGATCTCAAAGGAATCTGAAGGTGTATTGTGAATCCCAGCTCATAATAACGCAGTCAACACTGCTGATGCTGCAAGCCAATGTGTAATATAAGGTAGGTGGATGCCGTGGAACCAAACCCCAAAACCTAGAAGATGAAAGAGATCATGAGCCATCCTGTGTGTTTTCCGAGTCCATGAAGTGTGACCACCACAGAAAGCTATATATAATGCTTTTAACTACACATAGTGCAAGGGGAACACCATACATCCAAAGTTCAGTTGTCCTAACATTAGCCCAAGTTGCAACTCAGGAAGTGTCAGAAGGAAAGCCAAACCACCTATCTGGAATGGGAATAAATGCTCCCAAGCAGACGTGACATCAAAGGTAATGGCAACAGAAGAGACACAATTGCTGTCTGGGACTCTGGGGGACATGGGATGCCACCTGGTGGTTGTTGGGAGAACTGGGACTGAGACAGTGTGTCTATTACAACTTTCCATCAGATTGACTATCCTCACCACAATACAATCTACATTAGATGTAGATTGTATTGTGGAGACTTAACTATATGTGCAAGTCACTTGAGCAGTTGGTTGATCTGCACAAGCTCCCCTCATGCCTCTTTTGAGGGTCCAGGCATCAGTCCTGGCTCATTAGGCCAGGAAGGTCACACAAACCTCATGTCAAAGGGGCAGCCCTGTGCTGTTATACCCTGCAAGCTCTGACAGACTATCGAGGTGGCCAGCACAGAAAGACAATGCAGCATAATAAATGCCCTTTCACACAGTTCAAAAAATATAGCACATAATATAAACTTAAAACCTACCCTAGTATCTTCATGGTTGGGATAAAGCAATGCTATGAGAGACCTGAGAGCTGCTGTATCTGGCTGACAGAGGGCTACCAGCCCTGGCCATGATCTCAGGCACACCAGCACACCCAACTTCCCAGCCTGTGTTCTCAACTCACGCTCCTCACTAGAAAAAAAAAGTAATGCATAATGAAGACAAATGTTTCCAACACTGACCCAAAATAAAAAAAAATTACACATACTGTATTCTTTTACACACATACAGGTGGCCCGGCATAAGTGAATGTTACTGTATTAAATACGAGTTAGGTAAACTGGTACAAATACTGTACAGCATAGCACTTCTATTCAACATACCTTTTGCTATAGTATTCCAGATCATAGCTTGTATGTTTGTAATGAAAGTCAGAGAATGGTGCCAGGATCATGTGCAACTGAGAGCAGTGTGGTCTCCACTCGGGTGTGTTGAGGAGGTAGAGTATGGCACCCAGAAGAGCTTCGTTAATCCGTGGCATCCCGCAGTCTAAGATGTTGTGCAGCAAGACGCCCACTCCGCCACACTCCACAAACACACCCGTATTTAGCACAGCTTAAAATTCAACATAAATAAGCGGTCAGAATTTACTTTGAGTTACAGTATTCAAATACAGTATAACCATGACAATATTGGTTTATTAACATTTGTAATGTGCATTGTACTCTATTTTAGTGTTAGTTATGTTTATATCTTATTCTTTTGTTTTCTTGGCAATATTTAAATATGTCAGAATTAACAAACTGAACAAATATATTAATAAGGATAGCAGAATTTATAATTTAAACAAAAATATTGGAATAAAATACATCTATATAGGAGGCTTATTAATTTTAATGCACCTAAACTGCTGCCAATCCAGCTGACACCAACAGATATTCACATAGTAAAATAGGAGCCAAAATAAAGAAAACCCTACTCCTCTGCTATCCTCTTCCACCCTTTTCCATTTATACCTTTTATGGTAATCTTAAATTAATTCCTCTTTCAGCAAAGCAACCAAGCAAAAGCAAAACGGCAAAGCACTGTACAGCTACTTAGGGTGCCATTCCTGTAATAAAGCACTGAATGTAATAAAATTGCCCCCCCCCCCTTTTATTTTTAGTAGCAGCACCTGTTCCCACCGTGTCACTGTGACTTTTTTTGAAGGTTCAGTATTACAGCTCACAAGTGAGGAAGGCAGGTTGCAAATTGGGAATCCGGGTGGCCTGGGTAGTCTCCTGTTGTGGTCTGGCGAGTTGAAGCTGGCTTTGTTCAACCACTTGTACCGTTTTTCCTCATTCCACTCCTTTCTTATAAGCAATGGTTTGACATGTGTTCCCCAGGACTTTCTGGTTGATTTTTCTTAATTTTGGAGTCAAACCCTAATCTTTATACTGTATTTCCTTGGCCTCACCGAGAGTACCAGATTCTCGTCCTAGTGGGCATGTGTACTCAAGATGCCTAGTACAACCTAAAAGCTCAGTGGTACCAGTGTTTAAGCTCTGGAAAGCTACCAAGAGGCTGACCAGAAAGAGGCATTTCACTCCATTCAATGCTGGATTTTAAACTGCATGTAACTTCGAGTGCAAAATAGTAACCGAATTTAAACTTCACTATAATAAACACACCCATTTCATTAAGTGTAGCAAGAGCAGATCTAAGAAGCCTGTCCCTCTCCTTGGCTCCATCACGAGCAATGGCAATAAGGCAACGAGCCAGAGCTTCCGGGAAGAGACTGGGAGCCACCTGCAGCATTCGGCGTGCTAGTCTGAGACTCTGAAGACGTTCTATTTGATTATCAAGCATGATATCCATGCACCTGAAATATTTAAGAAAAATTTAAACATACACAGTTCAGCACTTGCAAGAAAAAAAAAAAAAACTATTCTAGGATAAAAGTGGGCAGAACAAAGTTCCAAAAGGACAGAATTCCTGGAACTGGGTTCATTATAAGGATCTCGACTGGAAAAGTCGGTCCTTTTATCCAGGCAGGATTGAAATTGGGAGAAATGGTCCGTTTAAAGCAATTCTGGATGGTTCAATGTTCCTTGATTTTTTTTTTTTTTTTAATTTTGTAAAACTGGAAGAGGACTAATAAAGTGCCTTATTTATAATTACCAAATGTCAGTTCAGTATTTAACATTTCATATAGCAAAAATTATGCACCTGTTATTTTAAATCAGTATCATACCCTGCACCATACCCTACATGCCACTAATCACCAAGAACACCACTGTTCACCATCATTTACCTGATAATGAGGGGTACAGTATTTACTGTTATAAGTGCTTTCACATCCTCTGGTGTCTGGATAAGGTAACGCAAGAGTCGAAGGCCACCTGCACGCACCTCCTTTCCCTCATGGACTAGACAGCATCGTAATCTGCAAATAAAATAAACAACTTGTATTAATATGAAATACTCCCTTGCCAAGCTGTATTATTATTCCCATTGTCTTGGACAGGAAGCCTGTACTTAGGCTTATTGAGAGGACCCCGCCACCATTCCCCTAGGTTGTGGGGGGTACACAACCTAGGCCAACTACAGACCACCTCCAGGATATAAAACTACAACAAAATTGCCAAAATATTCAACTATTCAGCAGGAGCAACATACAGTACAGGAAATTGTGAAGCATCCCTACAACAGAGCATGAAAAGAATGATGATGAAAAACCACTAAACCAAGTTGAAGAAACGGGGAAAATACAAAGGTACATGTGAAACCTTTATTATGAGTCAATCGCATTTGTACAAGTCTCCTGCCGCCAGGATAGCAGGAGACTTGTACAAATAGTCATAGCAAAGCCAGGATGCCCATCATGGTTGACACAGAAAAATGCTTGACAGAGGGGCTAGAGAATTCTGTAACCACCACCACACTACAAGCAGAACATCAAGAGCATTTCTGCCACCTGTTTTCCAAACCGAAGGTGACAAGAGCTGCTTAAAAACACTATACAGTACATACAAAGATCAGTGGAAAAACCAGTTACTAGATCAAAATAGCAGTGATCAATCACCCACAACAGGACAGAGAAAATGTAGGTAAAGGAACTAGGACATATCTGGCTGGTAATCAAGACTGATCTGGCCACAAAAGCCGAGGAAACATCTCGCAGCCCAGAAACCAGTCCAACTTTGAGGATCGCAGCCAACCAGAATGTAGATACAGTCCTGTAAAAGTTTGGTTATTTTGATGCCAATAACCTGAATGAGTAATTTGAATTAATTTATGTTCAAGTTTTGACTTCTTTGGCCCTTTTAACCTGAATGTGTATTCAGATTCAAATGTTATATTAAACAAGAAGCTTGAGTAAATAAGAGTGAGTGCTTGACTTTTCAATTAAGAGAGATTTGGGTTAGGCAATTTCTGCCAAGTGAGAAACCTCAAATAAATTGAAATTCGTACATTTTCGGACATTGCCGGTAAAAACACCTGGCTAACAAATGTTTTACTAATTTGATTTAGTGTTGGGCCCCATAAAATTTTGATTATCAAGCATAGACAGTATTTTCTAATGACTGCAATCAAGAAACATGGAATCAACCACAAATGTATTGTGATAATAGAATGTACCCAGAACTTGGAGTTCTTAGGCAAGCAAAAATTTTTAATCTTCTAATTTATCCAAACTGAACAAAAAAGGGTGAAGGAGGTGTGCCAACACATTCAAAATGAGAACAATCAAGAGGACTATGTCCCAAGAACAAGGAGATGCCATAAGCTACACCCATCACCAAAGAGGAAGGGAGGGACCAACAGGAGTCCACCTAGTACCTTTATAGTCGGAGATAAGAATGAAACCCCTTGGGAAAGCTAGGTGCTATAATGTCAGTCAGAAAAGGAGGCCTTGCAATCACCCAGAATGCCTTTGGGATAGAAAGCAACCTTCCACATGAAGGAAAAGGAGCGACAAATCTATGTTAAGACCTGAAGCCCAGTACTGTATCTGGAACAAGAAAATTTAAAAGCGAGTATCAATTCTAGGAGTCACAAATTTATTTTGATCAGAATGCAATTCATTCATTCATAAACCAGGTAAAACCAGTAATTGATAATTATTTGACAATAATTCAGTTAATTAGTATGAATTAAAGTGGCTGATGTATTCTTAATCCTAGTAGCACTGTACTTAATCTAATCACAGCTGCATCACATTTGCAAACATTTTATTTTTATTAATTGGCGACATGCTTCTCATTTCCCACACCGAGCCCTATAGGTTCAGAAATCTGTACACCAGTTGATTGACAGTCGAGAGGCGGAACCAATGAACTGAAGCTCAACCCCCGCAAGCACAACTAGGCAAGTATCAAGCTTATAATTTAAAATAACACCTTTAAAACATATTACCCAGCATAATAAAGTACAGTATAAGATATTAATGCTTTGGTATATTTAATAACTTTAAAAAACAAAGGTGATTGTTTTCCTTAATGTTTTGCACATTTTCATGTCTATACGAGGGCTAGTGAAAACAGGTACTGTACCGTACTAGAAATTCCACAACTCAACAGAAATTAAAGTGCCATGACAGTAAACATTTGTGAATTTACAATTGAAAATGTCAAATAATAAAGTGACATCTGCAGACTAGAATACAGTACTATGGCACCAAAAAGAATTACATGTACTATAAATATTAATTCAGTGTAGTGTCAGAAGTGTACACCCTGCAATAACCTTAGAAATGGAAGCAAACTGAAAAATACTAACAACTTTGAGCAACTTGCTCAACTTACAAGCAGAAGCAGTGTTCCCTGGTGATTACCTCCTCCCCAAAGTCGACTTGCGAAGGTGGCGAGTTACTATCGTTTTTTAATGACACTATCTCGTCAAATATTTTTTCGTCATCGGAGAATGGAGATTTTTTGGAGTGGTTGGATGATGTTATCTTCGATATTGCCCTGACTGCGGCATTGAGGTAACCAAGACGACGGCCTTTGGAAATGCCATCTTTTCTGCATACAATCCCCAGAACCTCTCTGATGACCCCTGACACCCCCCTCCCTGAGTCCAACACAATATTTTCGTCTTCGTTTTCATGGCGTCCTGAAAGTGAAGAATATGTTAGCAGTTATAGCAAAGTTAAAGTTTCTAGCATAGCTATTATTTAAGAACACAGATATCAACAACAGGTAGGTACCCTCATGCACATCCTACATCCAACTCAACAAAAACACCCATTTCAGTTCTTTCACTACCAACAAACGCCCTCACCTTAATCTGGTCACGCAATGTATACAGTCATCAGCACACACACACAGACAGACTTGCATTCAACAAAGCCAGATTATAGTGCAGATAAACATCACAAGAGGTTAAAACACTCGAATTGGCACTATATTCTTTATATGGTACTACTGTATAAACATACTACATATTTATACTGTACGAGAGAAATACTGTACCTTAAAACATGGGTAATATAAGTGCCAGCACAATCATTCTACAGACTTAAATTTTAATGTGTTAATGATTGCCCTTATTACACAGTCTGATGTAATATGCACCTTGAGTATGATCTAGCATTTGAGGATTATGTTGACAATGAAAATACAGTGGAACCTCTATTAACGAGTTTAATCCGTTCTGGCACCGAGCTCGTTACCTGGAAAACTCTTCTTTGGAAACAAATTTCCCCATTTAAAATAAAGGAAATAAATTTAATCCGTTCCACTCCCAAAAACATCCATACTTGTATGACTTTTTTTATGTAAATATAATATTGCACATGTAAATATAAATGTTTTGTTGTAGTGTTTTAATATTTACTTTACCTTATGAAGAGTAGTTGCTGGCTTGAGGGAGACGATGGGGAGGTAGGAAGGATGAGAAGGGTTATGGTGTGGAAGGAGAATCCACCTCTGAGTCAAGCAGACTCTCTCTTCTTGGGAATTTCACCCAAATTTCATTTCAAATGTCACACAAGGATGCGTTAGACCAGCACCAAATAAAAAACTACGTTGATTACACTCGTTGTGTCAACAATATAATAGTCTTACCACGAAGATACAATACAATGCCGTTTTCTCAAATAGGCAATGTGGTTATTAAAGAAAACGGAAATTTCATGGCAAACATGTATACAATCCCCATCTCGATCGGATAAGAATTGGATTTTATAGAAATATTTGCTCAAATGACGCTTGAGAGCGGTGTTTGGGTGCATTCAAGAGAAAAAAAGTGTGTTACATTCAAGCGACATATACCTGCGAAAGTGATAACACTTTCATAAAGTGTTATCACAAAGTGATAAATTAATCAAACATTTTCACACACCAGGTTGTCACTGCTTTATCAGGGCAGCTTTTCCAAGAATGCGTTCACCTTTTCAAACATTCCAAACACTTCCCTGATCTCAGTGGAAGAGGCAGCATCCTCCCTTACCTCCTCATTCCCTTACTAAAGGTGTAAATTGTTGATGAGGACCTGCCATACTTCCTTGTGAGATCAATCACACAGACACCACACTCATGCTTTGCTATAATTTCCTTCTTTAAATCCACAGTAATTGTGTCTTTCTTCCTCTTGACAACACTATCTTTAGCAAGTAGCTTCTTTGGAGACATCGTGTGTTACAAATTGTAGTCGCAAAACCACTAAAAACCCAAAGAAAAGCTCAAATAAATCCAGAGGGATGCTTGTCGTGTGAGATACAACAACACTGGCGTCGGAGGCATCCGAGAATTTGCGAGAACCCGCGAGACGCTAGGAAGCGCCATGTGGTTTCACTCGTTAATAGAGGCGAGCTCGTCAATAGAGACAAATTTGCTGCGAGTGGCTTGCTCGTTACTGGAAAAACTCGTTAATAGAGCCACTCGTTAATAGAGGTTCCACTGTATTAACTTATGCTTTATGCAACGAAAACCCCAGAAGACATTTCTGTAGTACAGTTGGGTTCTTTGTAGACTCAATTGTGAATTACGGGTTCGAATCCCGGGCAGGACAGAAATAGTTGGGTATATTTCCTATCACCTAACGCACCTGTTAACCTAGCAGTAAGTAGGTACCCAGGCGTTAGTGTCTTGTGGAGTTGCATCCTGGGGGGTTCAGTAATATATATATACCAGTACCGTATATACACTGGATGCCTGTTTCCCCGATACAATGAATTACTGTATTATTATTACAATACATACTCATAACAATCACAGTCTTAAACAGAAACAAGATATTTCTGAAGGACTTATTTGTACTACAAGGGGGACCTTTTTTTTTCTTTCCACTGCCTAGCCCTGCCAAGGGATATTTTCAGAGAATTTAGGAATTTATAAATGATAATTGCAGGCTTGAATAATACATTTTTAATATCTTCAAGAAAGAGAAATCATTCTTGAAGATATTAACACCAAAGATGTATTATATTTAGGTTTTAGCTTTGGTAGTAATATTTGATAACTATGAATTATTACTATATATAACATATTTAAGTGTAATTACAAGAGATTAGTCAATATAATTGCAAACATGATTTCGTTATTTGGGAAATTAGCTTCAAAAAGAAAGAAAGAAATCTATGTGTAAAATTATGCCGATGAATTAATCCTCTTGAATTTTCTAAAAATGTCTTTAAACACAAGTGAATTATATATTAACATCTTTTTGTTGTTGATATTGTTGGATTAGTAGCAGGAACAGCACGGGGCCATATGTACCCCATCGTCCCAGTGTGCTCGGGATAAACACAGCCCAGAGGCTTATCACCTGTCGGTAGTAAACCTGCTGTGCCTTACAGCATATAAACACACTGTACAGCAGACAGTTAGTGACATTCTGGTGTCCCTCTGGGAGGTAAGAATCAGCACCCCTAGCCTCTCCCATGCACCAAGTTGGTACCAGACACCATCTCCCATACCGAGGAACGAATCAGAAAATGGGAAAACCTACGAATTTCCCAATGACCTCCCAAGCATTAAAGGCACAAGGTGTCAAAAAGTACAGTTCTAGACTGCCAGATGGCAGTATCATGTCATTAATGCCAATAATCACATTCCATTGTAGTCCTCATGGTGCAGTGGTAAAGCACTCACCCGGCACTTTGTGAGCGCTTTGGCCTGGGAGGATCGACTGGGTGCCAATCCTTAACTATAACCTCTGTTCACTCAGCAGTGAGTGGGTACCTGGTTGTTAAACGATTTGGCGGGTCATATTCTGGGGAAAATTAGGATTAAGGGCCTGTCCAAAATGCTATGCGTGCTAGGGGTTTTACAAGAATGTAAGAACTCTTGTATACAGTATATATAAAAAAAATTGCCAGCAGTCTATAGGCAGAACAGGTGCACCAATTCTGCGTATTATTATGTTTGAACCAGATGATCTTAATATTATGCCATGACAGCTGGGTGGACAGCGCTTCAGATTCGTAGTCCTAAGGTTACGTGTTCGATCCCCAGTGGAGGCGGAGACAAATGGGCAAAATGTTTCATTCACCCTGATGCCCCTGTTACCTAGCAGTAAATAGGTACGCTGCTACGGGCTGCTTCCTGGGGGGTGGAGGCCTAGTCGAGGACCGGGCCACAGGGACACTAAGCCTCGAAATCATCTCAAGATGATGATACCTGGATGACCCGAATACAACTGAACAATGCTTCCCTGAATGGCTGTGTAAGAGTTTCCCCGTATGGTGACCAAAACCCCCCTGAGGGGGGTTAAATGCCACCCCCTTAGTGACGGACAGGTGTCCAGAGAGGGCGTCTTGAGAAGCAGCTGTGGGCACCTTCCCAAACACCCCATAGATCACTGGCTCGCCCCCATACACACACACACCTACCACCCAGTCCTCACCCAACCACACCTATCACCCAGTCCTCACCGCTGCCCCACGGGGCACTCCTCACACGGCCCTGTCACTCACTTCTCAGGGATCTCCCTGCTCGTATTCCTCGCCCTTGGTACATGTTTGTGTCGCCATTACGAACTGACAATCGTAGTATTGGTAGGGCTTCTCACCGGTGTTGACCCGCGTTAATTGCCCGCTTCCTTGCTTCCTGCAGGCTTCAGCTCACCGTTAATAGGATGTAGTTCTCTCTCCTCGGCTATTGGTACTATTATAGGCCGTGTAAAAATGTTAAGACCTATCTAAAAATATACGACGTGAGAAACACTAGGAATATAGTTCATAGAAAACTACTTTCAATAGGTAACTGATACAAACGTATGTGTCCTCTGGGGCTCAAGTTTTGAGGAAGAGGACACAAGCTTGTTATGCATTATTTAGTGTATTTATGGCTGTATTTAACAAGTACTTTATTAAACACTGTATTTTTTAAGTTTTTCTTCTTATAGAAGCAAATAATACCAAGTATGTAGTGCACATAAATATTCTTTCTCGCTGTCAGGATAATGTATACATTATCATTCATCACATTATCATCTGGGAGGATAATGTCTCCCAGTATCACTACACGGCCTATTCTTATAATTATACATCATTGTATCGTGGGATAGGTAGCCAGCGTATATTTGTATGATAGGCTTATATCGAGATCTGCGCACCTTTTCCCAGGATGGAATTACTGACCCTCCCCCCCCCAGGATGCAGCCCCACAAGCTAACTAACTCCAGGAACCTATTTACTGCTAGGTGAACAGGTGCATTAGACGATAGGAAAGGCGCCCAAGCATTTCTGTTCCCCCGATGATAACAATACGATAATAACAATAATACTAATAATATAAATTATTAATAATATTGTATTTATAAAATATAAATTGTAACATGTTACCATGGTTATATATTTAATAGGAACAGTAATTATTATATAAAACCAATAATTACGCACGGTGGGTAACCGTATTCAAAAACGGTGCCCATGAGCTATATGAATATATATATATATATATATAGGCCTATGGCTCTTCCTGTCCTCGTTCAGGCCACTATAGGGTTAATTAGTGGCTCTCAGGTAAACTCAGGTAAAATAATTGACCTTGCCTGAGGGCCAGTACCTCTAATGGCCTTGACGGGGAACCTATTACTTAACTGGTAACGGTGTAGTGTATATAGCTGTGAAACATGAGACTCCCTGGGTAAACTGGAATCTTTTACGTTGCTCTTTGTCCGGGGGGTTATATACCGTTGCTGACACAGTCACTAAGGACTTCCTGCTTGACAGTGGTCGGCCTAACTGAGCCAGCGTCGTAAATGGCTTGTCTGCAGCTAGTTCCACTGCCACAATCACCTCAATGGTTTATATTTGGGGGGATGGGGGAGGTCTGCGGGGCCTCCACCAATCATAGTTGCTGATACAGATTTCAAGCGTGGCCAACCTATACACTCCTTATACACTCGTTTATTATTCAGATTTATTTATCAAAGCTTAAACTGTTATTAAACGAAATACTTTGCGAAACCCGTAATGCTTTGCGTAATAGTGGCTTTAGGCATGGTATGTACTAGCTCTATCTATAAATTCATCAATATTTGTATCACTCCTTGTATGTATGTACTTTACCTGAATAAACATTTGAATTTGAATTTAAAACATTTGAAACGTCCAAAAACTGAGTAGTTTTCTTTTTTTTTAGAGGGTGACTTCTTTAATGTGCAAGCGGTCGTTCGCCATGACGTTAATGGTGATGATTGTGTAATTAACTCTTAATTAAGGGTGTTGGGGATGGCCATTAATCCAGTGAATAATGACGGGCGTTCACATCAGGGTAAGACAATATAGAGGTGAGTGGATGTGGCCAGAAATGGACAAAACATCGAAAAAGTGCATTTTGATGCTGAACAATTTAGAATTCCGAGTTTAGGTAATGTTGTTAGTTACCAGACATGCGCTAGTGATGAAATTGTGGTCTGAAATGTACAAAAAAAAATTGGAATGAAGATTAGTACATATTTAAAGCCAAAAATGTATGTATAAATGTATGGAATAAGGCAACTAGGATACTGGGATTTATTTCTAGAAGTATTTAGCAATAAAACAGTTAATGTTATTCTTTAGCTATATATCTTGTTGTTATCACCCATCTATCTTGTTGTTATCACCCATCAATATATCTATATTGTTATCACCCATTATGTACACTATGCAGTTCAGTTTTGGCCGCCATACTGCAGAATGGACATAAATTCACTTGAACGCATTTAAGGATGGGTAACAAAATTAATCCAAGGCATTAGAAATATTAAAAGTAACGACAGTTTAGTTTACTTCATTTATTATGCACCCCATACCTATCTTGTGGGCGGTAATGGGAAAAGTTACAGCGGCACATAATGGGCTCCGGAACTGAACCCCGAAATCCATTTAGCTAAGCAAGTTATAGCTAACTTTATGGCGGGGATGTGTCGCGCGCTTTTGCCCTCTGAGCGCGCTCTCTTTCCTAGTTCCATGGCGTCTCAAGGCTCATGATAAGCCTAATCTACTAGTTTCTCCAGGGCTATGACCGAGGCTACGCCCCACAACACAGGGTGTAGCGAGTGTTAACTGTACACAGGGTGTAGCGACGTATGTGTGTACATCACTCCATCAGCGATCATTAAACTCCTAAGGCCAGATTCACGAAGCAGTTACGCAAGCACTTACGAACCTGTACATCTTTTCTCAATCTTTGGCGGCTTTGTTTACAATTACTAAACAGTTAATGAGCTCGGAAGCACCAGGAGGCTGTTTATAACAATAACAACAGTTGATTGGCAAGTTTTCATGCTTGTAAACTGTTTAATAAATGTAACCGAAGCCGCCAAAGATTGAGGAAAGATCTACACGTTCGTAAGTACTTGAGTAACTGCTTCGTGAATCTGGCCCCTAGACTGACTCGCATCTGGAACTTGTTGGCCCAACAGGTTGCTACACGGGAGATCAGGTCAAGTGATCACATAAAGGCTCTGGCACACAGTTGGCTACAGGTTCATGCATCCTCTTCCTTATATGATTGTCACCTAATGTTGGTAATGAATAAAGGCTATTCCTACTGATGCATATAACAGCCTCGTGAAACATATGGGCCTCAAGGAGTAGGTTTCAACTGAGCTGAGGCAGGATTACAGCTCTTGCTTGCAGTTTCACCAGGTTCCTTATGTGATAGTTTCTTTATGATAGTTCTCAATGTGATAGTTTCACAGTACTGTACATTCTCATTAAATAAAGTCCCCATTGCAGTCTCCGTGGTGTAGTGGTAAGACACTCGCCTGGCGTTCCGCGAGCGCTTTGTCCTGGGTTCGTATCCTGGCCGGGGAGGATTTACTGGGCGCCAATCCTTAACTGTAGCCTCTGTTCACCCAACAGTAAAATGGGTACCTGGTTGTTAAACGATTTGGCGGGTCGTATTCCGGGGAACACAGGATTAAGGACTTGCCCAAAACGCTTCGCGTCCTATAGTGGCTGTCCAAGAATGTAACAACTCTTGTATATATAAATAAATAAATGAGTTTCTAAGAGCAGGCTTCAGACGAGCTGAGGTAGGATAACAACTCTTGCTTGCAACTTCACTAGGTACGTCATTTAACAGATTTAACAGAAACTTATGAACTCTAGTCTTAAAGAGAGAGAGAGAGAGAGAGAGAGAGAGAGAGAGAGAGAGAGAGAGAGAGAGAGAGAGAGAGAGAGAGAGAGAGAGAGAGAGAGAGAGAGAGAGAGAGAGAGAAGGAGCTGGGGAGGGGACAGGTAATGAGAGGGGCGAGAGAGAGGTAGGGAGAGAGGGGAGAGAGGGGAAACACAGTGGGGGGGGGGCAGCAGGTAAGGCACCACTTAGGGGGGGGGGAGGGGAGGAGGCCACTGAGGGCAGTGACTGGCAGAACCTGACATCTACTCGCCTAGTTGTGTTTGCGGGGGTTGAGCTCTGGCTCTTTCGTCCCGCCTCTCAACTGTCAATCAACTGGTGTACAGATTCCTGAGCCTACTGGGTTCTATCATATCTACACTTGAAACTGTGTATGGAGTCAGCCTCCACCACATTACTGCCTAATGTATTTCATCTGTTAACTACCCTGACACTGAACAAATTCTTTCTAATGTCCCTGTGGCTCATATGGGTACTCAGTTTCCACCTGTGTCTCCTTGTTCGTGTTCGTGTTCCACCCGTGCTGAAGAGTTTGTCTTTGTCCCCTGAGAATTTTGTAGGTGGTTATCATGTCTCCCCTTACTCTTCTGTTTTTCAGGGACGTGAGGCTTAGTTCCCGTAGCATTTCCTCGTAGCTCATACCTCTCAGTTCCGGGACTTGTCTGGTGGCATACCTATGAATCTTCTCTAACTTTGTCTTGCGTTTAACTAAGTATGGACTGCAGGCTGGAGCTGCATACCCCAAGATTGGTCTGATATAAGTGGTATACAAGATCCTGAACGATTTTTTACACAAGTTTCTAAAGGCATTTCTTATGTTGGCCAGTCTAGCATATGCCGCTGATGATATCCTTTTGATGTGGGCCTCTGGGGACAGGTTCGGTGTGATATCAACCCCCAGATCTTTCTCTCTATTTGACTCTTGCAGGATATCATCTCCCAGATGGTACCTTGTGTTCAGCCTTCTGCTCCCTTCGCCTAATTTCATTACTTTACACTTTCCTGAGTTGAACTTTAGTAGCCATTTTCTAGACCATTCCTCCAGTTTGTCCAGGTCATCTTGTAGTCTCTGTCTATCTTCATCTGTCTCGATTCTTCTCATAATTTTTGCATCATCAGCAAACACTGAGAGGAATGAGTTTATACCCTCCGGTGTAACTGGTATGAGGCTGGAGTGAGAGGATGGGAGAGGAGAGATGGGATGGAAGGGAGAGTGCATGCGTGAAGGGAGAGTCCCTGCCTATCCCAGCTTCAGGAGAGAGAGGGGGGGGGACAGGGCCTTCGTGTATATGCATATATACAATTGACTTCTTTTTTTACATTTCCAGATGTGATGTTGGCTTCCTACGGTTCCATATTGGCTTCCTTTACATTTGCAGCAGTTGGATTCGTCCCTGGGGGGGGGCTTCCTCCCGCCCCTGGCATGCATTGTTCAGTACCTGGACATGTTTCCAAGACTGGCGAGGGTTGCGCCTTGCAATCTGTGGGAGATGGGCGGCGTGGGAGAGTTTTTCCCTTTAGTATATCTACTAGC